ATTGGATTTAGGTTAGGCGAGTGTGGGAGCCATTCAATGGTATCAATTCCTTCATCCACCAGGAACTGCCTGTATACTCACCACATGAGGCCGGGCATTGTCATGCACCAGGAGGAACCCAGGACCCACTGCACCAGTGTGGGTTCTGACAATGGGTCCAAGGATTTCATCTCGATACCTATTGGCAGTCAGGGTGCTATTATCTAGCCTGTAGAGGTCTGTGTGTCCATCCATGGATATGCCTTCCCAGACCATCACTGACCCACCACCAAAACGTAGACCAGTGACAAGTGATTTGGAGTCGTGTACCAATGTGAAAGCACCTTAAACGTATTTTCTATTTTCTTGGGCTAAGATGTTCCAGGAGCATTTAAAAGTGGTGAGCCAAATTTTGTTCCTCACTGCTTGATCTAGGGCACATAATAAAGTTTGATGGTAGGCACCAGCAGACCCCTTCCCCAACCCCCTTGCCAGTCTGGAGTGGTAAAGCACCAGGGCAGATCTCAGTCGGTGTTGATGCCAGATAAAACGTTAAATATTGTGTTGCTCAATTTCCATGACATAATTTGGTATCAGAAGCAGCAGGACCCTAAAGAAAGTAAAGTAGGCCATATAAAGGGCATGGATCCTGCCAAACCACGCTATCGATAAGGATGACTCGGAGGCATGGTGAGCGGCCAAGTCTCTAAATAAAGGTGGGTAATTTACCTGGTACAGGGAGTCAGAAGTGGGGGACAATCTGATCCCCAAGTATGGTAGAGAAGGGGCCTAGGTAAAAGTATAGGTACTGCTTCTAGTTCACAGCTGGTCAGGGGGGTAGGAAAAGATTCAGCGCCTCAGAATTGGTTTTGTTGACACAAAGCTGTGGCAGGGAGCTGAATTTCGAAAGAACAATGAAAAGTTTGGAAGTGGTGTACGGGGGGGAGGAAACATATATTAAAATATTGTCCGCAAAGAGAATTTGTTTGTGATGGACACCTGCTCATTCTAAGCCACGGATATCTGGGTTCATCCGAATGGTGACTTCCAGAGGTGGTGAAAGAGGGCACCCTTGCCATGTGCCACGGTATACTGGAAAGGGGACAGAAGCAATTGTCGTATAGTTGAAAAAAAGCTGAAGGTTGGGCACAGAGCGTTGAAATCCAGGACAAAGGCCTTGGTAAACCCCCACTGGCAAAGAGCGAAAAGTATGTAATCTCAGGAAAGGTAGTTGAACGCCCTTCAGACATCAAGAGAGAGATATGGCCAGATTAGAGTGTGATGTAGCTAAATGGGTTAGTTGCACAGTCCTATGGACATTATCCCCTGCTCTCCCCAAGGGCACAAACCCCACTTGATCTTTGAGTGAGCTGACCTAAGAAAGCATTGAGTCTGTTGGCAAGGATCTTGGCTAAATTCTTCACATCAGTGTTCAGTAGAAAGATGGGCAATAATTAGACCAGGCGTAAGGGTCAGTGTTGGGCTTAGGGATCGTAACATTGTTGGCGTGTAAGTATGCAGAGGGGGGAAGATACCAGTCCTCAAGTGATTGAAAAGTTGAAGAAGATTCGGAGTAAGCAGGTCTGAAAATTTCTTATAATATAGGCGGTGTACCTGTCAGGGCCAGGGCGCTTCTTAACCTTGAGGTTGTGGATAGCCGTTGTAACCTCCCGTTCCATAATATACGAGTTCATAAAATCATGCCATTGACACTTGAGTGTGGGAAGATGGAGGTTGTTAAGAGTTCAAAGCTGAATAAAGATGTGCCAAGTGGCCATGCGACATTCACGAAGGAATCTCAATGAGTTTTTAGGTGCCGTTGAAATGAATGGCACCTGAACACGATGTGTGATTGGATATTTTCAGAGTGTTTTGAAATCGCGGGCAGAATTGCAGCGTTAATGTCTGTGATTTAAAATGCCTATATGTGAACAGAGCCTGACAGTCACTGGATCTCTGCTCACGGAATCCAAGAACTAAGCCATCAGCTGTCTTTGAGGTGGAAGGGGACAGATGCAGCATTAGACTGATGCTGCATCCACCTAGGAGAGTATGAAAGGTGTTTTGTTATTTTTCCCCAATCCTATTAATACATTGCTGAGGTTGTGTGTTACTAGATAATTCACAGAGGCCGAATATTCTAACTGCTATTCGGGGTGGAATAACTAAGTCTCTGATAATCATTATGCTAACAGAACTTTCTTTCAAAAGCAAAATTTAAGGGCTCATTCACATAAAAAAATTGTATTTCTTTGCCTGAGTATCACAGGTATTGCATATAGGTGCTTGTACAAATCAGTAATAGGCTGCAGCTGTAAGCTGGTCATCATACACATTGAGCGCTGCTTCACACTGATGCAGTGCGAATCTGATGCGGTATTAGTGCGGTATCACAGTGCAATTTCTGCTGTTTGCAAACAAGCAAAGGATTTCCCAGCAACACTTGCTAGCCAGCCTGCAAAATAATCAATTTGGCCCTGTCTAACAGTTTGTGTTAAAAACAGAGGGTTTTGTTTGCACACATTTGCAAATACATGTGTAAGTCACAGTCCTGCGTCAAGGGTCCACTCTATACTATGGACATAACTAAAATTTTCAAACCCTCCATAGTAGTAGCACATGTATCAATGGATAGGTTAATGGCAGGCATGCCTGGAGGAGCCCATAACTCCTTTAAAAGTACAGGGATGCACGTGATGTCCAGCAATACCAGAATGACAGCAAAGGCATTCGATTTCTGCTGTGATAGGTGCCGAATTGAACTCCATTTCTGAAGGAACGGGGCATAGCAGGAGAAGAAATTCACACCACACTTGCACTAAACTTGCACAGGACCCTTTTTTGGACCGCATCAAATTCTCACTGCATATATCTGAACAGCCTTCATTGGAAATAATGCTTCTTGACATTACATGCAAGTGTTTACATGCATTCAGGGATGGATGTGCACCTCTGGACACAGGTAGTTGGCATCCAGGTTTACATGTAAAAGCTGTGTTTTATTTCATTGTGAATTTTTTATTTTTTAATTCTTTAGTAGTCAAGGAATTCCACACTGCGATACAGAACATAAGAGAAGAGACATTAAACATCCCCATATGAAAAATGGATCACTGAGTACTCTAGATCATTCCATCATTATTTAACATTTACAAGTACTGGGTAGAGGGGTAAAACCAATGGAGATATTGCGCATGATACCTAGTAGATGTTAACAATCAGTAATAAACATTGAATTCCAAGCCATGTGTTATGTTTTCCATGTAGAGAAAACACTAATATATGAGTAGACTGTAGAGAGAATAATAAAGAGAATGCACAGTAGGGTTAGTGGAGAAAAAAGAACGAAGGGAAGGAAAAAAAAACAGGGAGAAGAAAAAGTGGTGGGGGGGCGGTAAAGGGGAAGGTGTTCTCCCTCTTGGATGGAGAAGATGCTGAATATTCATCCACAGGTAAATCGGGGTTCATTTTATGTTTTAAACCGACATATAATTTTTTTTTTTTTTTTTTTTTGTTACTATTGATATACCATATTTGTTTTACCAATAAACCTTTTATCTGTGCCAAAGGATTCCCAGAACACTGTGGGTTTTCCAAAGAAAGAGCACATGGCTAGTTTCCTCCTTTCAGGCATGATGTTTCTTGTTGAACCACTGATAGGAATGTTGGAAGGAAGGGTGGAAGAGTCACTGCTCTGACTGAAATGACATTTGTATGTAAATTTTTAGATTGAGCCAAAGAGATTTGCTTAAAGCTCCACCTGCGGACTCAAAAGGAGAATATAGAATATTAATATTGCAATACTTCTTATTCCACTAAATAAAATTTTTTTAATTAAGTGTTCTTGCAAGAACACTTATTGTTTTCTCACAAATATATTCTTATTCCGTTTCTTATTATAGCCAAATTTGCCACGCTAACTCCTCCCACAGTTTTTACACTACAAAGACAAGTAATATATCAAAACGTGCGGATTGTTCCCGATCGGATTGCTATTTGTGGAACGTTTCGCCGAATCGTTCACGAAATATCACGTTTTTTGTGGTGAAATTTTCCCATAGGAATGAATGGAGCAACTACTAGTGGGAACTGACAAAGCTACAGTGTGGAAGGAAAAATCAGAACATGATTTGTAAACTGCCATCACTCTGTCATTTTCAAGCCCACCTACACATATATTATATCAAAACGTTCAGCTATCCCTGCTGTCACTAAAAATGTTCACGGCTAAGACACAGTCCTGATAGTTTTCACAATATGACCATTTGTTTGCAACTCACCCCTCCCATTGACTTTCATTGAAAATTCACAGCCACCTGAAATTTTAAGGGACATTTTTAACTGCGACTGTGCCTTCATTTTTGATATTTCAGCGACATACTATACATCAAAATGTAGGTCTGTTCTTGTAAATCTTGCAATATCAAGCTCTTCGCAGTAGCATTTATACTTTTAAAACTACAAGTGTTTGAAGATGGCAAACGCCAGTGAAGTTGGCAAGTTGGAGCAGTGTGTTTAGAAAAGCCTGTCAGCTTCCTGACTGAGTGAGTTGCTATAGCAACCTAACATGACTCACGAGGCAGCTGAGTCACCAAGTTGAAATGCAGTTCTCACTCTATCAGGCTTGCCATGTGCACTGCTTACATTTCATCAATCACTTGGTTAGATTTTGATGCAAGAACACTTCACACAATTTCCCCCGAAATTGTAGATTTTCTAGTTTTATTTGTTTTAGTTGTGAGCATAATAATATATGCACGTATGTACAAAGTAACTATAAATTCCCTTTAAGTATTGACAAAATTCCCTTTAAGTATTGACAAGTTAAGTAACAACTATAGGCAAGTCAAGCTATGTCTTTAAAATACTGTTTTATAAGTATTGAGGTTGTATTGTACAATTATTATTATACAGTATTTATATAGCGCCAAAAAGTTTGATCAGTGCTGTACAATATAGTGCTGTACAATGACTTTGGGTTCTTGTTTGGTTTGTGCTAATGCTTTGTTCTTGTTCAACAGCTTAGCTTATCAGAGAATGAGCTGGGAAGCATTAAAGAAGTCAATTAATGGTCTCATTAACAAAGTCAACGTGTCTAACATTGGGAATATTATTCAGGAGCTCCTTCAAGAAAACATAATTCGTGGGCGGTATGTAGAAATTCTGTAATGTGTTTTATTGTGTTTTTTTTTTTCCCCTCAGTTTTTCGTCAGTATTTTTTAAGCTTTTACTGTGACCGGTACAATGTTGAAGTCACACATTAAAGCCAAAGTGGACTCCGTTTAAATCTGCTAAATACATTCCAAATGCATCGAAACAAAAGATGTTTGATGTCTTACAGTTTGCTTTCTTTGTAGAGCAGCTACAGCCCTAGTGGAAAAGCCTGTCCCCTGCCAGCAGCTGAAGGGTCATGCCCTTGCTCTCTGTTAGAAAGCAGCGGTCCCTCTGTGGATGTTCAATATGCCCCAAACTGGGTCAGATATATAGCTCCATAATCAGCAAAGCTTATGTTCCTGCTGATTTATAGAGCTTTGGCTCTGACCCAGCAGGGAGTATTGGACCTCTGCAGAGAGATCACTGCTTCCACATACAGAGAGAGAGAGTCCCATTATGAATCCCCGCTGACAGGTGACAGGCAATTCTACTTAGGATGTGATTGCTTTCTAAAAAAAAGCCTCAGAACTTTTATCATCCCTTTTTTTTTTTTTTTTTTTTTTTTTTTTTTTGATACACCTAAAACATATTTAGCTAATTCAGATTGAAAGTTCAAATGGGCTTTAAATTATATCACTGGCATATTCTTGTTTCTGTTTTAAAGACTTTTTTCAGGGCTCTTACACATGGATGTACAATTATTTCTATTTAGATCAATAATTTGTTATACTATAGGCCCATGCACACAGGTGCATTTTGGTGTTTGTGCTAACGTTTACAGTGTGCTATGCATGTAAACATCAAAAATGTGTAATCAGAGTCATTGCTGTAGTGCATGTGTAGAATAGTCAGCCTTCAGTCTTTTGAGAGAGACTGCCAAGGGCATTCTGCACGTGCACGGTTGGTGCATGAATGACTCTTTAAAGGGTGACATTCAAACCTTAAAGGTATATAATTGCACATTTTTGATTGCCAAACCTGAGCGGCGGCAACAAATGGCATACATTTACGCTGTTTGCATTGTGGAGAGTTAGCCTAGGGTCAAGAGGGGGTAGAGGTTGTAGGGGGCATGTACTTCACTTACATTCCTGGTGAAGAGAGAGAAGGGATTATTAGAGTCTACAGAGAAGAGCTCTGTGTAGCTGGGATCTCACTGGGAAAAACTTACTTGAATGAAACACCTGGTTGTTGAGCCTTACTTTCTTTTCGATTTTGGATATGTGCTGAAGCTAATCGCGCTGCTTCTGCTCTGTCAATGCCTCGTACACACGATAAGAATGTCAGACGAATGATCATCCGTGTTTTGTTTTGTTTGGGGTTTTTTTGCATGCTTGTCTCCTTATTGAAAATTAAAAGGGTACTAAACTTAAGAAAATTCTCATACTAAAGAAAAAAAATTAAAAAGTGAAGTAATGTATTGTATTTGTGTTGTATTTTTAACAATTTTACTATTTACTATTTTACTATTTACTATTTATTATTTACTATTTTAACTACTGTACTGATCAAATGAAAATCGTATAATCTGGTATTGTACGAGAAACATTTTCGTGCTTGCCCCTACGGATATTGTGGTATTAATTGTCGTGATACTCTCAAAAGCTGTGTACCAACGATCCGATTATCGGAAGATCAGTCATCGTACAAAAATGGTTTTCTTATCGTGTGTATGGACCATAAGCCTATACTGCCCTAATAAGAAGCTGCACCTAATTTGTTTGAGTTGAACCTGAAAGCCAAGATTTTTTGCTGACAGATAAAGTGGAATTTAAGTTTATAGAACTGCCTGAGGAATGCCTTTTTCCTACTGTAAACATTGGACAGCATGTAAACCTAGGACTAATGTTACATACATACATACATACATACATACATCATGTGGAGACGTTTTACACATGGTCTTGTTGCCAGCAACAACTTGTGTGGAGACTTTGGCTCTGTGTGCATAAAGCCTTAATTGTTACTGAACCCACAACACTAAAATCAGTCTGTATATGCAGTAAAGCATGCTTGTTATACTCACTGTGGAACCTAAGGGGTTAATCCTCTGCATTGTGTAAAAAGGCTGTTTGATCCTTTCTTCTCTGGCCCTCCTCTTGTTGAATTTATCACCTGTTACAGACTGAATCAGTGGTCACATTCACATGCTCAGTTTGGTGTATATTGCTAGAGAGGTTTTTTTTTTTTACTATGCATAAAATACTCATACCAGGAATTATTCTTTAAAGCGCATGCACCATTTCAAAAATTGCCCTGCACTTTGTTGCATTGATGTGAATGGGCACCATAGAGAATAATGTGATTTCCACTGGCAGATGCAGAAATCACACTCGAAGCCTTAAACAGCGGAATTCACAAGCACTATGCTTGTAAGCATGAAAGTTAAACATGTTAATTCAGTTTTGGTTGATGTGGATTTTTTTTTTTTTTTTTTTTTGCAGTTAGTCAATAAAAGCCTGACATTTATTGAACTTTCCTTGTGGAAGTATTGTAGTGCCATGCAGTCATTGCATCCTATACTTGCTTAGAAATTTCATGATTATTTGAGGTCTGTACTTCGTAACCAGTTACTGCACCAAGGTTACCTGTAGAATAGGGATAATGATGTTATAGCAAATGTCAACCATTCTGTTTCAGAGTGTCTGATGGGCATATGGATCCAAATCTTGTACTGCCTTTAGCTATTTAGACAGTGTAGAGAACAAAGTAATATGCTAATAAGAATGGAAATTACAACTATCTATCTGCAATCAATAGAACTTTTTTTTTTACATGCTTTGAAATTATTTGAACCAAATTTATTAAATTCCATGAAAAATCAATGCACTGTATGGCCTTCAATTACAGGAAAACAATTTATTATGGGATACTTTTAATTCAAAAGATGTTTTATGGATGTTTAAGCCTATACAACCTGACCTGTCAGTCCTGCAACATGTCATACCTAATGACAATTTTCACTGTTTGTGTAGGGATAGCTGTATAGAATTATCCTAGTGTAAAGGAATGACATTTTTAGTTATGCTCATCTGGGATTTGGCTACATACTGCCTGGCTAGCTGTCATATTGCCCTTGAAGACAAGCAATTAATATATTGTATCCTATTGTATATGATGGACACCAAACCATTACTTTAGAAAAAGCAGTATAGTCTTCAGAAACCGCTGATTGTTCACTTCTAGTGCGACCTACACAAGGTCAACATTTCTGGTGCCCTTGGTTGGTATTGGAGGTATATACTATGTTGAATTAAAGTCATTCTTCAAGCTTATTATTGTGTTGTAATGACTGATTGTAACTGTCATACCTTAGACTGTAAATGACTGTTCCTCCTATCTCTGTTTTGCTGTCCTTCAGGTCTGTGCTGTGTTCACTGGCTTACCTTGCTGCCTTGTATTTAATGAACAGTCTGTACACTCCTCTCATGTCTGTGATTTTGTGTTTCAAGATATTCCAGACATGAAAGCAGTTCAACTACTCTTGATCTCCTCCAGCTATTAGGGGTTTGTCAGTCCAGCATGTGAATCTGTTGATGGAGCAGACTTTGAAACGTAAATGAATGGACCACCCTTATTATGAGCTACAAATATTGAATATAAATTACATACAACTTAAAGTAGTCTTAATCAAAGGCACTAACAGGTTAATTAGACTTTAAAGCTGAGCTCCTTCAGAACCGCTAAATACAAAATTGAAGCTCTGGTGTGAATTCTGATGTACAGTGGATTGGAAGAGGCTGTTAGTAAGTCAAATTCAGGTACCTGTACACAGGGTGAATATAAAACACGCTTATTGATTTTTAATTAGCACAATCCTTCGAGTTTTGTATTTTACCTTGAAGTCAGCTTTAAAAATTATTGGCAGTGTAAATTTAATTTGTAGACTGCGTACTTTAAGCCGTTTCTGAAATATGTCTGAAAATTTTCCAGAGCAGCAAGTGGTTTATATGTGTGTAAGTATTGAACACGTCACCAATTTGCTCAGTAAATATATTTCTAAAGATGCTATTGACATGAAATTTTCACCACATGTCGGTAACAGCCCTTGCAATCCATACATACAAAGAAACCAAAACAAATAAGTTCAGAAATGAAGTTGTGTAATAAAATCAAATGACACAGGGAAAAAGTACTGAACACGCTAACTGAAATTTATTTACTACTTTGCACAAAATCCTTTGCTGTTAATGACAGCTTCAAGACACACCCTGTATGGAGAAACAAGTCGAATGCATTGCTCAGGTGTGATTTGGGCCCATTCTTCCACACAAACAGTCTTTATATCTTGAAGGTTCTGTGGACCTCTTCTGTGTACTCTGGTCTTTTTTTTTTTTTTTTTTTTTTTTTTTTTTAAAACGTTTTTTATTGCCATATGCAAACAGTTACAGAGCAAAATAAGCACGCAAGTCAAAACCATCATCAAGCAGTAATACAATAAGAATGCTACACAATTCCAATCTTTCCAGGTTATACCCAAACCATTGTCCGGCAAAACAGTGACACACAATTTCAGTTAGTATATGGTGATGATTATCACATTCACATAAAGCATTTATTTTATGCATAAACATGAAAAAAACTACTCAATTAAACCCTTCCAAATTCAAAAGATCCTCAAACATGAAGAAAGACCAAAACCACAATAGAGAAACAAAAAACTAGCCGGGATAAAGCTTCTCCACCCATCCAAAAACAAAAAAACAGACTATGTCTGGGATTCGTTGTTACCCTAAGTCGACCCTAGTCGTAAAGCTGATGAGCATATTTGATACCACATTAGGCCCATTGGTGTCCCCCCTCAAGTTTATAAAATTCAGTCAAATTTGGATTACACCAAAGAGGTGCACTTAGAGACATGGCTAGGCTATCTGAAATTTGTTTCGCACATACGGTAAGAATTTTTTTGGACACTGATAGGATAGTCATACTGTCTTTTGATGGAACCTCTCTTCGATAAAAATAGTTTAGCAGAGCCTCATAGTAAGTAACCACAGCCGCCTCCACGGCAGTGGCGGCATTATTTAGATGCGGGAACATTCTCCAGTGTGCATACATTGACTGAGAGGCAAAATAATACATTCGTAGGTCAGGAAGAGCCAGTCCCCCCCATGTACTGGCAATTGGGTATTTCCAGGGCTACCCCGGGAGGCTTAAAACCCCATAAGAAGGAACCAAGCAGGGAATTAATACATTTTGAAAAACTTTTTAGGAATATAAATGGGTGCACATTGGAGAGAATATACAGAAACTTCGGAAGATAAAGCATTTTAAAACAAATTTACTCTCCCCAAGAAGGTCAGGGGCAAGTCCTTCCAAGTACAAACCCTTTATTTAAACAATAATCTTTGGTCCATTGTATGAGCATTTAAGTATGAATGTAATGGAAGTTGTATAGTAATCCCAATATATTTACATTTATCCTATATCCCAATGGGGCACCCTAGATTCTAAATCAACAGCCACTGGCCATCCAAGGGGAAAAAAAAGCAGATTTAGAGCAATTTATTTGAAACCCTGAATAATCTCAAGTCTTGGATCAACGAAAAGGCTCTACCTAAGGACACATGGGCATCATTTAAATATAATAACATAGCAGCATATAGTGATACACACTCCTCCAGCCCTCCTACCCTTAGACCCTGGACTCCCACATCCTCTCTCAACCTCACAGCCAATGGCTCAATGGCCCATGCAAATAGAGGTGATAAGGGGCAACCCTGTCTGGTGCCCCTATGGATTTGAAAAGCTTCTAATGAGTCCATTAGTCCTAATGTGAGCTCCAGGCTCTCAATATAAAAGCTTCACCCATGAAATGAACTTGGGACCAAAGCCAAACTTAGCCAAGAGTGGAAAGAGATATGCCCATTCTACTGATTCAAATGCTTTTTTTTGTAACTAATGATACTATCACTCTGTCCGCTGTGTTATCATGCATTACTTGCAAATTAATGAAGAGCTGCCTAAGATTAATATGGGCACAAAGCCCATATTAATGGGTATAAAGCCAGTCTGGTAAAACCCGACTAGCTTTAGAATCACTTTTTGTAAGCACCTCGCCAACACTTTTGCCAAAATTTTAACATCCGATTTAATCAAGGAAAAGGGCCAGTATGATTCACACTCCAGGGGATCTTTTCCCGGTTTTGGGAGAAAACTATAAGAGTCTCCTGCAAAGACCTTGGCAGTTAGACATATCAGCCTCAGTATAATTATCCTTCCAGTAATGGTTTATTGCCTCCATACAACCTAGTTTCACATATTCCTCCTGCAATCATACACCAATGGTTAATTCCGGGACATACCCCCAACAGCAAACCAATTTCCATGGGAGAATGATCCTAAATTTCCCTCGGCAGATACTTAACATGGCCAACCATGTTAGTTGGCCACTCCCAAAAGTGTAGTATACGTACTATCATAGGCCTCGGAGGAGCTCCTGGACACGAAGCCCGCATGGGAATCCTATGTGCCTGTTCTATGGCAAATAGACGGGAGAAAGTACAAGCTTCCATACGTTCCTCAAGCCAACTTTCCAGAAAATCCTCAGGCTGTTTTCCTTCAGCCCTTCTGGAAAGCCCACTAGCCTGATGATATTGCGTCTCAGCCTGTCTCCTATATCTCCCAACTTGCCATTATGACTCCTTGGTAGCATTTTGCACAGATCCCTGTAAAGGATGAATTATGTCTTTCATATCACTGATCTGTTGTTTGGCCTCAGCAGCTTTTTCTTTAACTGTTTGCATGTCTTGCTTCAGAAATGACAGAGCAACTTTAAACCCATCAATGTGATCCGTGAGAGTTGGCTGACATGATCTGTTTCAGCAATGGCTCCTGCTGCTCTCCCTCTCCTCTGTTCCCTCCACCATCTTCAGTTCCTGGCAGACTGACCAGAGACTGTTCCTTCTTAGAGGAGCAATCCCTCTTAGGCAAGGAGCATCCCGGCAGCACATTATTCACAGCCGTGGAGAATGTTTGTGGCAGCTCCTCCACGTGTGTCCCGACCGTGTCTGCCATTCCTCTCCTCCACATGTGTCCTGACCGCATCCGCAATCTTGAGAGCCCCAGGCAAATCTAGCCAGGTGCTCTCCTGAGGATTTCCAGCCTGCCCGATTTTCACCATTGTGAGGTGCTCACCTGCCTCAGCCCTCCTTCAGGTCTCCTTGGGGGTACAGCATTGCTGCCCTCTGTTTGTTTGTCAGGATGGCTGCAGGATGATGTGTCCCAGCCAGAGTTCCGACCACTCGCTGCTCACTCGCCGTAAGCCTGCTCCGCCCTCCTGAACTCTGAGTTTTAATTTTTTCCATAGATTTTCTATTGGATTCAAGTTAGGTGATTATAGCAGCTTTATTTTCTTTCTTTGAAACTAACAGAGTTTCCTTGGCTTTGTGCCTAGGATCATTGTCCACCCTCGTTTCCTCTTCATCATCCTGGTAGATGGCAGCAGATTTTTATCAAAAATGTCTTGGTACATTTTTCCATTCATCCTTCCTTCAATGATATGAAGTTTTCCAGTACTGTATGCTGAAAAACAACCCCGCTCCATGATGTTCCCACCTCCAAACTTCATTGTCGGTATGGTGTTTTTGGGATTTTGCACAGTGCCATTTGACCTGCAAACATGCTGTGTAATATGGCATCCAAAGAGTTAAATTTTGGTCGCACCTGACCAGACTATATTCTCCCAGTATTTCACAGGCTTGCCTAAATGTTGTGCGGCAAACTTTAAAGGAGCTTCAGCATGCTTTTACTTCAGCAATGGAGTCTTGCATGATGAGCGTGCATACAGGCCATGGTGGTTGAGTGCATTACTTATTGTTTTCTCTCTCTCTCATTACACCATATCACATGCTCACAATAAACGTGTGATGCAACAACATGCTGTAAACAGGCCTTCAATGTTTTAAGTTGCAATTCTTTTCAAAAATTGTTTTAATTTTAATTGGGTAAGATCTGCTTAGTTTATTGCTTCTTACTCAATGCAAGTTTACTTGGCTGCTCATACTGAAAAACAATAAGCTGGTCATGAGTAGCTATCTCCCCAAGAATGCTGGGTGATGTCTGCTCAACCCCTAGCAGCTTGCTACAATAGACATGCTCGGCAGACTGCAATACCAGCTTAAGCGCAGAACGTCTGATCTTTCACTGTACAACATACAGTAAAAGAGTGAAGTATCAGTACCTGCTTGTAGAAGGTTCAGAATCAATTTACAAACTCTGCTCTTATGATAATGTGATAATGACCATCTTCAACTGTCTGTGGGTGCAAATTATTTTTCTTAGGACCCGTTCACATCTGAACATAGTAATCAAGGTGCTCATGCGCTATTGGATATGTGATGCTACAAAATAAGTGAATACCCAAAATAAACCTATTGCTGCAGTCCTCTACTTGTGTAAAATTATCACAATGAAATAATATAGAAAACAATACGACCACACATAATTAAAAACAAAACATATACATATATACTATAACAACCAGTCCCAAATAAGTAGACCTAGTGCTGGTGCTCAATATATAATCTTCAAAAAAGTGTTCCACTGTCCTTGACTAAAGTGCCCCACGTGGACTGACTCACTGACCATCTGTTTCTAGAATGGTCATTCGCGCTTTCTAAGGGTATATCTCAAATTGCTGGTGGTCTCCAATATATGAGCCTATACTCCTATCCTAAGATGATCCATGAGGCTCAACAAAGTAGTTGCCAAAAGGTTGGTGGTCTCCAGACCCTCGCAGGTGCAAAAAAATTGGATGAATATGTATCACAATGTAAAGAAAAAATAGAGAATAAAGGGGCATCCTATAGTGTAAACCTGTATGGTATATTTATTGGGGGTAAAAATCAATAAAACACACTCACAAACAGGGTGTCTGGTCCCGACACCTGGTGTATTCAGCTTTGTTACTCAGAGATGGAGTACACTGCACTGGATGCTCACCAGAGTGGCGTGCGTTCCACGGGGCGGACGTGACGTAACGTCAGCGGAAATTACATCATCAAACATCGACGTGTTTCGATACAAGATCGTCATCCAGAAGCGACTGGGTCTACTTATTTGGGACTGGTTGTTACTGTATATGTTTTGTTTTTAATTATGCGTGGTCTTATTGTTTTCTATATCACATCTGAACATACCAGGAAATCGCATTCCCACGCACCTTTTTTTTTTTTTTTGTGTCTAGAAGCGTTTCTGCTCGTCACACAGAGATGCCATTACTAATTAATGGAACTGCAAGTGCAACATGAGATTTCGATGTGTTTGCAGCACATTTCTGAAACATACAGCAAAATGCATGTTTTCTGTGATATTATCACACTTTCCAGGAACACCTAGATGTGAATGTAGTCTTAAAGGATAAGTTCACCTTTTGAACAAAAATAATAAATGCACTTTTTTTTTTTTTTGGAGCCCCGCACAGCCATGCTGTTTTCAAATTTGACAGTACTGGGGGAAACTATCAGAGGGAGGGGGGTGGGGTGGTGGGCACAGCTGCAGCTATGGGGACATGTTACATGTTCAACCCTAAAAACGGAACTTCTCCTTTAAGAAGAATACAGTAAATACTTTAAGGTGGCATTAAAATGTATTTTAAGGTAAACATTTTAGTAATAACTCAATATGTACTTGCCATAAATATACTGCTTGTTTCTTTCTCGTAGAGGCCTGCTGGCTAGGTCAGTTCTTCAAGCTCAGAGTGCATCACCCATCTTCACCCATGTGTATGCTGCTGTAGTGGCAATCATCAACTCCAAGTTCCCTATGATAGGAGAATTGATTCTAAAGAGACTTATCCTAAATTTCCGTAAAGGATACAGAAGGAATGATAAGGTAAGGAACAATCTTTCCGTTTTTTGTTATTGTAGTGCAAGTGTTTTTCTTGTCTTTTGATCACATTTCGTTCCCTGTGTTTTTGTCCTTTTTTTATTACTCGATGACCTCCCATCCCACACAAAAAACAGTTGTGAATTTGATGTTTTTTTATTATAAAGTTAGCAATTATAAAATTATGTTTTAATAATCTAAGATTTTGCTTTTATTCTTGCCATTTTGAAAGCAAACCTTACTATTTGCAAAATAGACTATTAAACTGTAAGAATACCTTTAACCTATAACAGACCTTTCATGTACAAATCTGCACTGAGATCTGATATTTGATTTCTTGATAGGGAAGACGTATTTGTGCTGCCCATAATTAATTTTTACACATGATGTCCATTAGTGGACAAATAAATGTTGGTGAGTCCGCCATGTTACACTTATTGAGTAGTACATGTAACTCATTTCTCCCAAGCCATCTTTCCCAATAGTGTTGCATATAGACAACTTAAAAATACTGATTTTCACATCTGCATGGAATAATGTCCATTATTTTTTATTTCCTACAGCAACTTTGTTTGACAGCTTCAAAATTTGTTGCCCATCTAATCAATCAGAATGTGGTAAGTCGAGTTTTGATTTTGTATTTGCTGTTATAGGATCCAATATTCATTTATTACCATTAAACCACAAATAGAAAGTTAATGACACAAACATTGAAAAGAGTATATATTTTGTGGACCTGAAGGCACTCCTGAGTACATAAAGCGTGAAGGGGAACAGCAGAGAAATTCAAGCTTGTATCATCTGGACCCAGTCACCTGAGATCTCCTGAGTCCAATTGACCATAAAGGCCCTTAGGTATCCTTAACAAGGGGCGATCAGTAGGGGAAGTCCCTTCACTCAGAGGAATATTTGTGCTGTGCTCAAGGGCTCGGGGATCCAGTTCCTACAAAACTGGGATGTGGGCTTTTATTTGGAGCCCAAGGGTGGTTGCTGGACAGCAGGATCCTCTGTATCAGATTCTCTGGAAGGGAACATCTGCTTTTCTCAGAATTTTAAAGACTTGGCAGACTCCAACAGCTGCCACCACAGACTGCAGATCAGCTCCCAACAGAGAGAATGGTGCCTTAAAGAGGGCTTCCAAGCTAATCCATGGTGCACAGGCCATCATCTATCGGGACCATCAAGGTCCTATTCAAATAGGAAATAGCTGGGTCAGCAACTGGTGAACCCCATTTCTTGTAGAAGTGAGTCCAATGTAACATGATACATGTTACACCCTCAATATGGGTGTAACGTTACAAAAGGTGAGGTTATCTTTTAACAATTACATTTTTGCTTTTTTTGTTTAGCCATTAATAATGTTTTAAAAATGTGTATTTGTAAAATGTTTCAATTGTCACAATAAAAAGGGTGCAACATTGAAAAAAGTCTTATTTAATTTGTAAATACCTTTTGCAGTGCTTTGCACTAGAAACATAATTTAGAGTAATTTTAAATTGGACAAATTATAGAATAAAATGTATACTTTTTACCTATTTATCTACAGTAACACTGTTTTTTTTTTTTGTTTTTTTTTTAAACGAACACTTGTAAAAGTAGTTGTGTTTTTTTGTCTATAGATTGCATAAAACATAACATAATTTTCAAAGACAGTATTACCAAAAGGAAAACTTGTCTGACGTTAAAACAGTATATGCATTACTGTATCTCAAGTAATTACAAAGTTATTGCTTAATTAGTAGGCTTATAGCAGAAATGTAAAACCTACTCTGGTTCATAGGGGGCGCAATGGATGTTTAATACTTACATTTCTAGTGGGCGCTCAGATCATCTCTTTGCTGAAGAAATAAGTTTGTCCCTGATATCTAACACTTCAGGGTGTGCTGGTTACCTGGTCCCCTGCTGGGCACTGCGGTTTACCCTGCAGGCCACTAAGGCTGGCCATACATTATCCAATTTTCTTGAGATTTTTGCTTTAGATTTACCAAAAACCATATAATATGAGGTCAAACCTAAACAACACTTTCAGTTGTATCCAGTTAGGCCGCCCCTTGCACTACATAGTTGAAGGCCAATCTAAAGGAAATTGGGCAGAAAACTGTAAGAAAATTGTATAGTGTATGGCCGGCCTAACTCACTACAGAACACAGTAATGACCTGACATATTCTAACCTTTCCCACTCTACCAAAAGTGTTTTTGTTGTTGACTCTGTCCCCATCTTTTCTTTCTCGATGTCATTGTCATAAGGACAGAAAGTGAGAGGAAAAGAGCGGTTTTCTTTGTGGCCCCCATAAAAACTGATGTAGCAAGGGGTCATTGCACCTGTGTTGGTAGGAGCCTCATTTGCTGCATTCACTAACACCAGTGTAACCTGCCCTCCTGAAGCAGTAAACACAGTACAGATGTATTTATCTGTTCATCTGAGTCTGTATAAGCACAGCCAAATGTCTTAAGCCGCATTGACTCTGTTGCCGCCGGAACATGTTGGGTTTATTCTGCTATGAATCAATTTTATCATTAAAGTAGATCTATAGGCAAAACTTTTTTTTTTTTCATTTTGGATAGAGCAAGGGAGGGTTATAACACTTAACAGATTTTTTTTTTTTTTTTTTATCCGCCATCTGTGTCCCATTGTGGAGATTTCGCTCCACTTCCTGTTCCATAACCAAACAGGAAGTGAAAGAATATCCCTGCAAATTAAGGGAATTTCTTGGGGTCACCAGAACTAGTGTCCTCATTGGAAGATTTCCCCTTCTATCTTTTACTTTCAATTATAATGGTGAATAAGAAAATAGAGAGGGCAAATCTCCCTAACAGGGGAACTGACAGGGGTTCTAATCCCTCTGCACTCTATCCAAAACTTAAAATAAGTTTTGCCTTTAGTTATACTTTAACCACTTACGGACCAACAATGTACCCATACACTGCTGGACTTCAGACAGTTATACCTGGATGATGCCTGCAGCTGCTGCTAACTAGCCCCTTGATTTGCTTTTACAAGCAGCAGGAGGGGGCGTGTTCCCCCACCACCGTCTGCGGCTCTCGTTCGGGCTGTGCTGTCCCATTGGGAGACCCCAGCAACCAGCCAGCATGTCTGCCGGCTGGCCGGACAGCCGTACAAATCTGGGATCAGCTCTGCACTCTAGTAACCTGGAAACAATGATCTGAATCACTTCCAGTTTACTCAGAACTAAATGACGACATTTTAAAAGAAACTGAAAGCATTCAAAAACGCTGATCTTGGTGTTTCGAATGCTTTTAACCACTTCAATACCGGGCACTTTTACCTCCTTCCTGTCCAATCCAATGTTCAGCTTTCAGTGTTGTTGCACTTTGAATGACGATTGTGGGGTCATGCAGCACTGTACCCATAAAAAGGTTTTATCATTTTTTTTCACACAAATAGAGCTTTCTTTTGGTGGTATTTAATCACCACTGAGTTTATTTTTTGCTAAATAAACAAAAACCCAAATCTTTTGGAAAAAATGTGTTTTTCTTTGTTTCTGTTATAAAATTTTGCAAATAAATAACCTTTTTTCATAAATTTAGATCAAAATGTATTCTGCTACATTTCTTTGGTGCAAATACCCAAAATTAGTGTATATTATTTAGTCTGTAGGAAAGTTAGTCAACAAAACATGGTGTACGTGTGTGTGTGTGTGTGTGTGTGTGTGTGTGTGTGTGTGTGTGTGTGTGTGTGTGTGTGTATATATATATATATATATATATATATCTCTACATACATATACACTGTGAAGAACAGAAGTATTTGAACACCCTGCGATTTTGCAAGTTCTCCCACTTAGAAATCATGGAGAGGTTTGAAATTCACATTGTAGGTGCATTCCCACTCTGAGAGACAGAATTTAAAACAAAAAATTCAGGAAATCACTTTGTATGATTTTTAAAGGATTTATTTGACTTGCTCTGCTGAACATAAGTATTTGAACACCTGAAAAAATCAGTGTTAATATTTGGTACAGAAGCCTTTGTTTGCAATTACAGAGGTCAAACGTTTCCTGTAGTTCTTGACCAGGTTTGCACACACTGCAACAGGGATTTTGGCCCACTCCTCCACACAGATCTCCTCTAGATCTGTCAGGTTTCAGGGCTGTCGCTGAGCAACACGGATTTTCAGCTCCCTCCAAAGATGTTCTATTGGATTTAGGTCTGGAGACTGGCTAGGCCACTCCAGAACCTTGATATTCTTCTTACGGAGCCACTCCTTGGTTATCCTGGCTGTGTGCTTCGGGTTGTTGTCATGTTGGAAGACCCAGCCACGACCCATCTTCAATGCTCTAACTGAGGGAAGGAGGTTGTTGCTCAAAATCTCACAATAAATGGCCCCATTTATCCTCTCCTTAATACAGTGCAGTCGTCCTGTCCCCTTCGCAGAAAAGCACGCCCAAAGCATGATGTTACCACCCCCATGCTTCACAGTAGGGATGGTGTTCTTGGGATGCAACTCATCCTTCTTTTTACTCCAAACACGATGAGTGAAGTTTAGACCAAAAAATTCTACTTTGGTCTCATCTGACCACATGATTTTTCTCCCTTGCCTCCTCTGGATCATCCAGATGGTCATTGGCAAACTTCAGATGGGCCGGGACATGTGATGACTTGAGCAGGGGAACCTTCCGTGCAATGCATGATTTGAAACCATGACGGCGTAGTGTTCTACCAACAGTGACCTTTGAAACTGTGGTCCCAGCTCTCTTCATGTCATTGACCAGCTCCTCCCTTGTAGTTCCGGGCTGATTCCTCACCTTTCTTATCATCAGTGATACCCCACGAGGTGAGATCTTGCATGGAGCCCCAGTCCGAGGGAGACTGACAGTCGTCTTTAGCCTCTTCCATTTTCTAACAATTGCTCCAACAGTTGATCTATTTTCACCAAACTGCTTGGAAATTGCCCCGTAGCACTTTCCAGCCTTGTGGAGGTCCACAATTTTGTCTCTGGTGTCTTTTGACAGCTCTTTGGTCTTGCCCATGGTAGTAGTTGGTGTCTGACTGACTGTGGGGTGGACAGGTGTCTTTAAAGAGCTCAGACAGGTGCTACTAAGTTAGATTGAGTGGAGTAGAGGTGGACTTTTTAAAGGCACAGTAACAGGTCTTTGAGAGACAGAATTCTTGCTGTTTCTTAGGTGTTCAAATACTTATGTTCAGCAGTGCAAGACAAATAAATTCTTTAAAAATCATACAATGTGATTTCCTGAATTTTTTGTTTTAAATTCTGTCTCTCAGAGTGGGAATGCACCTACAATGTGAATTTCAGACCCCTCCATGATTTCTAACTGGGAGAACTTGCAAAAATCGCAGGGTGTTCAAATACTCCTGTTGTGTTCCTCACTGTGTGTATGTATGTGTATGTGTATATATATGTATGTGTATATATATATATATATATCTATATATCTGTCAGTCAATCAATGTACTGACAACCAATTTCATTTCTTGAGGCCCAAAAACGCGCAGGATAGTACAAATACCCCCCAAATGACCCATTTTTGGAAAATACAGTCCAAGGTATTTAGTAAGAGGCATGGTGAGTTTTTGAAGTTGTAATTTTTTTTTTTTTTTACAGTTTTTTGGAAAATGAAGAGATTAAAATAAAAATCTTCAATTTTTTTTTTTTTTTTTTTTACATATTGTTACCAGTCCAGTACAGTGGTATCATATAACTGGTGTGGTGGTGATCAGGAACACTGACTGGTGACAATATGTAAAAAAAAATCTATATATATATATCTATCCATTCAGTCGTATCCGACCCTTGGCGATTGCATGGACCGTCACTCGTAAGCGACTTTTTCCATGAATTCGCTTAGCAATTATTTTTACAGGGTAGGTTGCCAGGTCTTTCCCCAACCCCCACCATGCAGGAGATCCTGCATGGCCAGGGATGAAACTAGGACAATTTAGACAGGAGCCAATTAACCTACCAGCATGTCTTTGGAGTTTGGGAGGAAACCGGAGTACCCAGAGCAAACCCACGCAAGCAGAGGGAGAACATGCAAACTCCATGCAGGAGGCGCCATTGTTGGGAATTGAACCCATGACCTATTTACTGCACGGCAGACGTTCTAACCACTAAGCCACTGTGCCATATATATATATATATATATATATATATTTATATATATATATATAAATTTTTTTTAATTTAAAATTTTTTTAATTACTTTTATCTTTATTTTTAACTTTTGTTTTTTTTTTTTCAACTCTGTGACCAGAGCAATACAATGTTACCATAGTAAAATTAAACTACTCTGGGCAAGTGATCAGGATTTTTTTTTTTTTCTTTTACACATTATGATTGCCAATGTATTTCATTGATATTTGCAACCATTGTTATGGAATTAAATTGATTAATTCAGTCTTTTGTTGTGATTAGCTGTGATTGGGCAAAGCTCATCACATGATACAGATGGGCTGTGATTGGCCCTGTCTGTACCATGTGATTGCTTTGACCAATCACAGCCAACAACACAATTGTATACAATGGATGGAATGAAAGGTAGCCATCCTTTGTATACAATTGTCATGTGATCTGCTGTCATTGGTCACAGTGGTCACATGACACTGTTAACAGGCCAGTGTAGTGATTTGTCATCCAAGGGACACAGCCGGAGACGGATCACGGCACCTTCTGACAGGACGTCATATGACACCCATTCAGAAGGAGGAGTGTCCCAGCCGGCCTATAACAGATTGACAGCCAGGTGTTAGGAACAGAGAAGGAATTTTGGGTCTTACTGACTCCAGATCACTTCATAAGAGTACCTGTCATGTGCCTATTGCTGTCACAGCGATGTTTACATTCCTTGTGACAACAATAAAAGTGATCAATGAAAAAAAAAAAAAAAATTATTAATTTATAAAAAAAATAAAAACATTAAAGTACCCCAGACAAACCCCCCCGTGCTTGCGATGCGAACATGCATGTCAGTCCTGCACGGAATCACTGATAAGGTAACACCGCAAACGTTAGATCATGAGCAGTAATTCTAGCATGCATTGTTTGATTTGATCCTAGTTCCAAGGATGTTACCTCTTTCTTAGTGATGCTAAATCGGAGCTTTGCTGCCCTGGAATTGACTGGAATTGTAGTTGTGATTTATACATTTGCAGCCTTCATAAAAAAGTATTCAGTTTGATCAAAGGTTCTATTTGATTCCTATACTTAAACGTATTCTTTCAGGACACTCCTTTTTGGTTAATATACGTTTATCACTTTATGCTATACAGCTTTAAATCAGTACGGGTGGTGCTGCTGCTCAGGTGTAAAACCACTAATTGATAGAAAATAAACACCACTAAACAGTACATGTAAACAATGACCCATTATAAAGTGTTCATCGTTGTCCAATATAAATCCATGACCAGTGATACGCCTTTATGCGGTAAAGTGATTCCACTTCTTAAAAAAAAAAAAAAAAAAATCTCCTTCAATAAAGTGCTTTTTCTCTGAAAACCATAAAGTGACTTTGTGCTCAGAAAAAATTGTGATACGTGCCCCCTCTTCTGTGCTCACACTCGCCAAACAAGGTGAACCCCCTGCTAGCAACATAAGAGTAATGCAAGCTCTCTCCGGAGTAGTATGCCTCTTTATTCCCCTCTGCTATGGTCTCCGCTTTCCTTCATACTCTTTTCTCCGTTTCCGTTATATGGAATATAATGGCAATGGATGCAGGGTGATCAATCTCCTAAATTATGGGCTGATCTTATCTTTACAACTCTGCCCCTTGCAAGCTTGATTCAGACCTGGACACTTTTTAATTACTAAATTCTTTATATGCATACTTTCTTAATAATTACTAGAAAACGCCATATATTCCCTTTTTAAAACATTTGGAGAGTCTGAAATATAAGTTAGATTCTGCTAGGTTCTTAATTGAGGTTTGTTGTTAGTGAAGGCGAAAACACTTTCCCTTGTTTTTTTTTCTCATAAGTTCTTCTGTCACAGAAATCAAGATCATTGGTAGGTGCTGTAAGATCGTTGTGACACCAAGCATAAGGAAAAAAAATTCTTAAGTATTGTAGTTTGTCAGTCCCCTGGGGGCACAAATTCCTCTTATATATGTTGGAGGGTGAATGGACCAAATGCATTATTGCAATATGTAGGGTAGTTTACTTTTTTTTATAGCTTTGAAATTGGAAATAACCTTAAAAAGCAATTTTGTTCTGTAGTATACTACATTCCACACCAGGGACATCTCTATCTGTATAGAGTATATTCTTACTCTCTCCCTCTGTGTGTATGTATAATAAACACACACACACCATAGATGACTACACCCCTTTTGAAAAGTAAGATTTTAATCAATATCGTAATGAAAACAAGAAAAAGAACAATTTTCAACATTTTGACAAATCTAAGTTTATAGAACATTTGTTTAGCTCATTACGTGAAAGTACAGTGCCTTGAAAACGTATTCATACCCTTTGAAATTTTCCACATTTTCTCATGTTACAACCAAAAATGTAAATGTATTTTATGTGACATAACAGCCAGATCTACAATGAAATGGTTTGGATCAAAGCATATTCATGTGTTTTCGAATGGCCCAGTCAAAATCCGGAACTAAATCCAATTGAGAAATTGTGGCAAGACTTGAAAATTGCTGTTCAGACGCTCTCCATCCAATCTAACAGAGCTTGAGCTATTTTGCAAAGAAGAATGGGCAAAAATGTCACTCTCTAGATGTGCAAAGCTGGTAGAGACATCCCCAAAAAGATTTGCTTTTGATACCCACTTGGTTTGATACAAATGGGTATTTTGAATAATCATGCTTCTCTTTTTATTGTGTTAGGCCCACGAGGTACTGTCACTGGAAATGCTGACTTTGCTGCTGGAGCGACCTACAGATGACAGTGTTGAAGTTTCTATTGGTTTTATAAAGGAGAGCGGCCTTAAGCTAACTCAAGTATCACCCAGAGGTATAAATGGTAAGTGTCTGCTGTTTTGCGTCTTAGCTATTTGATGGTACATTACTTTCCTCATTAATATTAATCCTTGGAAAGAGGTGAACTTTAGCCTGAATAAGACATTGTTTTTCTGTGCCACAGACACTGAGAATCATTGTGAGTGCCTAGCGCAAGGACCGCTTGAATACATTGTGTGAAAGGTGTTTACTTTAGAGCCTTGCTGGGGCAATATTACTCAAGTAAACAAATAGTGCCCTGCCATCTGCAGTTTTATTCTGTATTCTAATTTATACTGTTGGTTAAAATATGCTTACTATGTTCTACCTCTTAATCTGAAAAGTTTATTTTACTGTGTGTATGTATATATAGAATTTTTGTTTGTGTGTTATTTGGATTTTTGTTTTGAGTGTGATCAGGGTGGATTTGATTTAAATCACGATTTAAATCACTAGTCAGTAAGGCTTGATTTAAATCATAGTTTTCTACATAAAGACTAATTCTTGCTGGTATAACTTTAATATGCAAGTAGATGAAGATTTTTAGAATAACAACTTTTCATATTAGTTTTTTTATCCCCAGTTTAATAGGTTAATCATTCATATTTGGACAACTTTTCTGTTGTACTTAGGTAGGAGAAAAATAATCATTACCTTAATAACAATTTAAATAGATTTATTCATCTGAAACAATAACATTACAGTATATGTTATTTGCTTAAACAAACATCCATGTTTGTTAACTAATTTGGCTAAACAAAATATATATATTTTAAGAAACTTAGACTGCCAGCCCCTTCCTCCTCACACTTAGTTTCACTTTCTTCTTGTGCAGATCTATTCCACTCCAAACAATCAGAAAAATATTGTTTCTATTCTATTCACTGAACTTCTTGAAACTTAGCACTGAAGGGGTTGATTCTGTATTCATAGGTTTGTAGAAGTTAGGATTAAGGTCTTTTTCTTAACTCTGTTCATGTTATAACATTTTTGCTGTGAAGAAGAGGCATGTGATCTCCGCTGAGTCAAATTCAGTTTTTTTGAGAACTGCAAACGTAAACCAAGCATCTGTGATAATATCTTGTAGGCAGAGAAACTGCCCAATAATCTTACAAAAACCTCTGGAAGAGCATGACATTGTGAATGGATTCATGGAATTTATTTACCAAAAAAAAATTAAACATATACAGCCTTATTCTACATAATTAAAAAACGAATCTTTATTTCATGATGGAATAACCTTTGGATGGTAATATATTTCCCTCAAAAAGCATTTTATTTAAAAAAAATCTGATTTAAATAAAAAAAAATTAGATTTTTTTATTTTTTTATTTTTTTAAAAAAATCATTGATGTGATGAGAAAAAAAAAAAGCAAAAATCACTTTAAATAAAACTTTTAGACCCCTTTCACACGGGCTGTTTCTAGTTCTGCTCGCAGGGGGGGGTTCTGTCTACTAATCCCCTGCTGAGCTGGGCAGAGCTGCCGGATGACAGGAGGTCCGCTCCGAGAGGACATGGACACTGCCCGCACTCCTCTATGGGCAGTCGGATGTAAACGCACTGGCTGTCCGCTTACATCCAACTGCCCGTAGAGGAGAATGGAGGGTGTGGTCGGGTCCCCCAGAAAAATGGACAGGTGGAACCAACCTCACCTGTGTGAAAGGGGTCTTAAACATTATAGGTTATTTAAATTCAAAAACAGGTTTAATTTATTTCAGCTTACCAGTTCTTGGATGTGGTGGCTGCTTTGTACTTCTTTTTTTAGGCTTTACTTTTTCACCCGATGATCCTACCAGTAACACATTTTCTGTACTAGGATGACAATGTTCCCTAGCTATGGAGGTTCAGCATTGTCACTCTAGGACGTGAAGTATGTATGACTATGGACACTCTGGTGCAATGGTTTAGCACAGGGCAGCCCCGATCCTCCTCTTCTTGGGTCCCCGTTGATGCTTCTGGCCCCTTTCCCCTGCTGAGTGTTCCCAGAGAAAGCCGTTTGCTGTGGGGGCATTCTTGTGTGCTCACTCTTGAGCCACCTCTGTGTGTCTGAGAGACACGGAGAGCAGCTCGGCTCCGCCTCTTGCTCCCTCCTCACTGGCTGTGATTGACAGCAGCAGGAGCCAATGGCTCCCTCTGCTGTGTCTCAGCCATTGAGGAGGCAGAGACCCAGGAGAGCTTCTGTTCTCGTGCACATCGCTCAGGTGAGTATAAGGGAGGGGGGGGGGGGCTGAGGGGGGAGCTGCACACTGAAGGTTTTTTACCTTCATGCATAGAATGTATGAAGGCAAAAAACCTTCAGGCTTTAGAGCCACTTTAACATACTAAATGGTAGCAAAGAGAGCAGTTTGTTTAGGTCTATATACACTTTAATGTTGGAACCAGTTAGTCCAAGCCAGGGGCCACTAGGCACTCTGCATTGTTTGAGCTGCTTTACCTGGCACAGTCAAAATGGATTGCTTTAGTGTTTTATTCAGATACGGATGTAATGCTGCCCTACTGTATAGCACAAACATTTCTGTGCTCTGTTTTTGTAAAGAAAAAAAAAAAAAATCAGCCTGATAGTTACTTTGGTAACTGGTTTGGTGCACTAATACGGGTAATAATGGTTAGGTTAATTTTAGGGTTCGAGGATTAGGCTTAGAGATTGGTTTTGGGGTTAAGATAGGGTCTAGTTTTCAGGTGACAACCTTTTAAATCCTGATGTACCATGCCAGTTATTTGCTGAAAAAAGCGCACTGTCCTCTTACTGCTTACACAAAGCTGCTAATTTGCAGAGAGCAAGCATGATTTTCTTTAGGCTCTTTGTGAACACAGAAGCTTAGAAAACCTCCTTGCTGTGTCTGATTACACAGCACACTTTGAATTGGTAATTGAATTTTTCTGTAAGTAGATGACCTTTAGGGCTTGTTCACACTTGAGCAATTTAGCTTAGCAGTTCAATGCCTGATTTCCACATATGAGAATTGGACCACTTTCTTCATTGGCTCTATTCAAATTTTTGCAACCTACTGTACTTTGACAAAGCATTTCCATATTCTTGCATGCAGCAGTTTGCGTGCAATATATATATATATATATATATATATATATATATATATATATATATATGAGTGTGGTGAAGGAGGCTTAACTTGGAAAATCAAATATCTTTTTGTGGTTTTCTCCACGCAGATGTGAAAGGGCCCGCAGTGTTCAAAACATTTGCTTCATTTAATGTTTAAAGTAGTTGTTTTATCAGCCCCTAATTGTGGTTTTTCTATTCCCTGCAGCTATATTTGAGCGTATGCGGAACATCCTACATGAGTCAGAAATAGACAAGCGTGTGCAGTACATGATTGAGGTCTTATTTGCTGTCAGAAAAGATGGCTTCAAAGATCACCCAGTTATCCCTGATGGCTTGGACCTGGTGGAAGAAGAAGATCAGTTTACGCATATGCTTCCTTTAGAAGATGATTACAACCCAGAAGATATACTTAGTGAGTCTTTACTATGTCATTTATCACGGCACTGATGAAAATCTGTGGCAGCTTGGAATTGACTACTCTATGAATAAACTGGCTGCAAAGTATTTGTTTGCAGCATAAATCACGATCATTCACTTGCAGAGAAATCTGTCATTCTTGAGCTGTTTACTTTTCCTGATGATGTTTTTATTCGGTTCACACCTGCTTTTCTGATATTTTCCAAAGCTTAGTGCTTTTCAATATAGTGGAGAATACCTGCATTATAGCCAAAATGTTGCAATCGCTCAGTCTACTTTTAAACCGTTTTTGTGAGTGTGCCGCTCTAATGCTAGATGGATCCTGCATATCCATAAATCAAAATTTTGTTTGTAGGTAACATTTTAGAAGTAATTGTTTGCTCTTTGTTTATGATCTTCAGTTTAGTTATCTATGAACTGGAGATAAATAATTTTTTGTAATCTGGTGCAGCCATAACACCTCTTTGTACACTAGTAAGAACTCCCTGAATCTGCTGCATGTGTCGGTATAGTTACTGAGATGGGCAGCAAGGATTTTTGAATTTGGCACAGACCATTTTAAAGGACCATACTGCCAGAAAAGTGTTGTTACTGCTGTGTTGAATTCCCACCATTGTCTGATATAGGGGTGACCATTAGGGAAAGCATTTACAGATCTGATACATGAATACAGTCATTAAAATACAGATTAGCAAGCAATAAAACATTTGAAAGGTCAAACGTTACTGTAAAATTATTTTTAAAATACCTTTCAAAGCATTCAGTTGAAAATACATAACTATAGCTAGACATTCTTCTTGCTGTATCTATAATCCTGAGAGAATCCTGATTGCTAGATTCCTGAGGGAAATAGATGGTGATGTCTGTTTTTACCCTATTTTTAGTTCTCAAGACCTGAGGATAGATTGCTACTAGAAAAAGGTCATCTTTTTACAATGGGTGACTGAGCTTCTGAACATTTTTAATGTTGAGACATCAAATCTCATTTTCTGTAACTGTGTCATTTCACAGTTTTTCTAATAACCCAAAAATCAGTTGGAAAGTGTGAAATGACTATCATAATTAATGGTGTATGGGTTCATAACATGGATTGTAGGGCTTCAAGTAGAAGTCCAGTTAAATACTAACTTTACCTAAAGCTGCTCTCACCCTATTGTAAGCATATTCTAATTACCCTGTAAAGGAAAGATATGTATACTTACCTATTCTGAAGGCACTCTGATCTGGTCACATTATTATCTCTCAGCGCCGGCTTCAGTGTAGAGGAAGGACAGCCAACATTGGATGCCCCACAGTAAGCCTATGGGTGACATCACCGCATAGGCGTTGCAGCTGCCGTTGGCGATCTCTGCTCTTCACTGAAGCTATCCGCTGGGGTGATCATGTGTCTGAGCTCCTTCAGAATAATTAAGAATAGACATCTTTCCTTTACAGAGTTGATAGAAAAGGCTTAGAATAGGGGTGGGAGCATAGGTTTAAAGTGACACTAAAACTTCATTTTTTTTGTTTTTTTTTTTTAAATAACAAACATGTTTATACTTGCCTGCTCTGTGCAGGGGTTTTGCACAGAGCAGCCCCGATCCTCTTCTTTTTTTTTCGGGTCCCCACCAGCACTCCTGGCTCCTCCCCCTCCTTCCTGCCCCCAGGGAAAAATGCTAGTCCTGGGGGTACCGTTGTGTGCTCTCGTCCTGAGCTGCTGCTCTATGCATCCATAAGACACATAGAGCCACAGCTCAGCCATGCCCCCTGCTCTCTCCTCATTGGCTCTCTGACTGTGATTGACAGCAGTGGGTGCCAATGAGGAGGAGGGAGTGTGCCCAGAAAGCAGAGGCTGTTGAACGTCACTGGATCAGATGGGGCTCGGGTAAGGATTGGGGGGGAGCTCTGCACACAGAAGATTTTTTTAACTTCATGCATAGAGTACATGAAGGTAAAAAACCTTGAGCCTTTAGAACCACTTTAAGTATAGTTAGTTTTTGAAATTACTTATTTATTGTGGATTATGTGTGATAATAGTCAGAAATTCACCGGTGTTTGTTAGCATTTTAGCCATCTAGTAAATCAAAAGGTGATTATGACTTTTTGACAACACAAGGATCTTTTGTATTTTAATGTTGGATACAATAAAGAAAAAAAATATAGATTTCTCTCCGGTATGAGTTGAAAAGCCTGATCTCTCTCAGTATGCCGCAGAGAAGAACGATTGCTCTCTTTGTAGACCTTTGCTGAAAGGGACCACTGCTTCCACACATAGAGAAAGGGTCCTACTCTGCAGTGGAAGCATTGGTCCCCCATAATGGACAGGGATTGGCTTTTCTACAAAGACTGTGATTGTTTTCTAATGTGAACCAACTGTGCTGATCCTTTACTCCTATATTTGCACTGCCTCCAGGCCCCCTCGCTGGCCCTTCTATCTTTACATGGCTTTCTTCTGGGTTCAGCATCCTTCGCCATCTTGATGCTAATTTATGCCAGCACCAAGACTGGCTTATAATGTATTAAATTTAATACAAGATGAGCCAGCTATCAAAAAAGGTGCTGTTATTGCAGAAGAGACATATCATATCCCTTCTGTGAAATAAGTCTACCTGGTTTGATAGTCTCTGTTTTAAGTAAATCAAAATGTATAGGTCTCTGAACATAACATTAAGGCTCCATGCACACTGGGCATTTAATAACGCTGGCAACATTAGCTGTGTAAAGTCACATTACAAACGTGAGTTTTTCAGTGTTTTTTTGCATTAGCGTTTTGCCGCGGTTTTTTTTTTTTCACGTTTGCGTTTTTTTTTGTACCAAAATTTTTTTTTTTTTTTTTGCTAAAAAAATCCAAAAATGCCAGTTTGTCGTGTTTTTTACTGCGATTTTCTGCATTTTTCAGCATTAGAATGTTTTTACAGCTAAAAAACCCATCTAAAAACCCACTCGTTCTGGGGGTTTTTTTTCACTCAAACGCCCCTGCCAAAATACGCTAATTACAGTCTGTGTGCATGGACACATAGGATAACATGCTGGGGGTTTACTGGCTGTAGAAAAAAATGCCAAAAGCCAAAAACAGCAGCTGTGTAAAAATGTCCAGTGTGAATGAGTACTAAAAGCACAAGTCTCATTTAAAAATCTGTTTTGGTTTATTAATACTGGTACTTAACAGTGGTCTTTAAAATTTTTCTTTTAAGATGTCTTCAAAATGGATCCAGATTATCTTGAAAATGAAGAAAAGTACAAAGTTATTAAAAAAGGTATGTGTGGACAATAATTGTATTTTCTTAGCAGGCTGTGCCAAGGTGAGGACATATCTCTGTTACTATAGGGAGAGGCCTTAAACAAATTTGGGGATTTCCATTGTACTTGGAAAATCTCTTTTAATCATTAAAATTTTTCAGTTTGTTTTTTTAATATTTCATGTTTTATAAAAAGAAAAGCCATTCATCCAGGAAATGTATTGTACCGCAACAGGAAAGCCATCTATTTGCTATTCATGAGATACTACATGCAGAGCACTTTTCATTGTCTTTTTCTTTCTTGCCTTCCAAGTTCACAATACAAATAGCTTTACATTAGGAATTCATACTGTATTTTTAATAAACCTTCTTTTTGATTTAGTTGTCATTGCTGCAATGTGTGTAATAACTCTACATTGAAAACCAGCAATGCCTTTAAATCGCAAGGGAAAGTTTATTTACATTAGAAACTGTTAGTTAAGGGGTGGGGGGAGAAACACCTCACCCATTCTGCAGATTGAAGCATTGGGTGGTTTAAGTGTATTTACCTAATGGCTTGAGTTTCCTGACTAGCCTTTGTTAGTTTAGCCACAAGTGCCAATTTGATAAATGATCGTGTATTCATTCGGGGGAATATAAATATCAGGCTGATCAGATTTATTGTGGGTAGGCTGTGTTCTTTAGAGGATTTTGTTATAAGTTGCATCTATTATCTTTTTGCTTTAAGAAATCCTTGACGAAGGGGACACTGATTCTGAAGGAGGAGACAGCGAAAATGACAGCGATGATGATGACGAAGAAGAGGAAGATGGAGCTGAAGATGGAGGGGAAGGTTTGTGCTACATTTTTGTCTTAATCATTCATAATGAATTTATGCATTATATACTGATATATTCAATTCACTGTTGTCTTTTCTGTGTATATTGCCAGTTTAGGTTAACCTGTCATAAATAAACCTCTATTTGTTCCTCATCCATTGAGGGACTCAAGTAGTCATTAAGTGTCAGATTATACTGTCACCAACATGCCTCACTTTTATGCTAGTCTCCTAGGAGGATGGACTGACACTAGCAAAAAAAAAATCCTCCATATACTTTATTTTGTTTTCCCCTCAGTTTCCTCTTCAATCGAGATTCTTCTCTTTTTTCATGCCATAGCTGATCTCTACTATTGCAGCTTTCCAGAAATAGTCTGTCCTCTGCTTGGCTTTAGAGTGCTGTTAGCAGACGGATATTGTGGCGCTAGCTGAGAAGTGGTTTTCAGACACTGGGGTTCCATGTTTGGTGTTTTCCAGACTCATTCTGTTAACAAGTTAGCTGCAAGGTGCTTTCCAGGTCCAGAGCCATTGACAACGTCTCAGCACTTGCCCTGTCTCTGAAGACTCACTCTGAGTAGGCTGATCAGAATGAACAGCTTGAGCTTCTGCATTATTTAGATCACTGGACACCTTTAAAATTCCTCCTCTACTGTGAAAGGGGTTAATGTTGAGGAACTGAACACTGGCGTCAACTGGTTGATGTGTCGCACATGCTCTACATTCTTTTTCACCATTCAGCATAAGGAATCATCTCCCTGCTGCTGCTCCTGCTTTGCTGAGCCATGTGGAACTCTGATCAACAGCATGTTCCAATTGCTTGTCTACAGTTACTCTGGTCACCTCAGGGCACCCAACCATCAATGGCTGCCAGCTGTCTAGATTTTGTGAGTACTTAAAGCCTTGCTTCGTACCCTGAGCTTAGTCGCCTTACTGCCAAGTGGTCTATACTAGACACAGTGGCTGATTCCAATGTAACAGGTGAATCCAGCTCACACTCTTTTTTGACTAAGTTTGTTCTTTGCATTCCAAGGGTGCAGATGTTGGCAAACTAGAATCCTGTTCTCCTATGGTTACAAGGTCTATCTCATTGCCTGATTAAGCCAAGTTCCTGTTTTATCAACTGGAGCTTGATAAATCACACAAGACTTTGTGACCAAATTCAACCAGTTCCTCGCTAGTTCAGACTCTAGCAGGGACCCTAAGCGCATTCCTGTGCATTCCTTCTTAGATTCTATTGTTGATTTGCCTGCAACTCCAGAGGCAGCCAGCCCCATGGTCTTTGAGTGACAACTTCTCTTCTGAGCTACCCTTGATAGGGATGTCTCTGAAGGAAAGAACATCAGCCTGCCTTGTAGGAAAGCCAGACAAAGGTCGGCTAAGTTCCCATCTTTTTCTTCACCTATTTATGGAGTAGGCACGTCTAGATCTTCCAAACCTGGTTTTCTGACCACCTGCAAGGTCATGAGTAAGTCTGCTAAACCCTTAAGGAAGCCTTCATTAGCATGAAACTGCACTTCTAATTTTCCAGGTGGGGAATTGTTTGTTATACCTTTTGGGTAGTTTGCCCTTCAGGTATTTAGGTGCAGAGAGGGCCCTTTCAGGATTAGACTCTACCCTTGCCACCACCACTATCTTCAGCTTTACACTTTTTACCTTCCTGTGGCATTGAATAGACAAGCAGACCTACTTCTGCTCCTCCTGGACATAAAAATCCTTGTCCTAGCTTCTGCACCTGCCTGACATTAGGAACTGTATCTAAAACTGCCCTAAGTTTCTCTTAGTAGATGTTTCTCTCTTTTGGGACATGCAAGTCCAACAGTTCTACGTGATATCCATCAGATCTACCATTACTGTTCCATCCCTGAAGGACTTTTGTGGTCAGCTGGTACATGTAGAGATTGATAACTGCCCACCCTCAATTCTAACTCTCTTGTCTCACCCCTGCACTTCTAACCTTCTCAAGGTCTTTGCCCTAGTGGCTTCTCATGGCATCCACGTTGTGGGATGCTTAGACGACCTGGTGTGTTGAAAATAGTCAACATGGGCCTTTGTGTCTTCTTGATGATCCAAACAACTCCTAGATGTGGCTGGACCTTGTATCATCTGAAAGTCCTTGACCACCTCAAGACAGCTTAAACTAATATGGTTCTGCAGTATTTAAATCTACAGCTTCCTTACTCCCATGTCCTCTTCCCTTGTACAGGGAGTTGCCCCTTTCTTGGCTTTTGCAGGAAAATCATTATTATTGTTATTATTATACAGTATTTATAAAGCGCCGATAGTTCACTCAGCGCTGTACATTACAAAGGGGGACAGAACATGTGACAGAACAATACCAATGCAATGCAAAACATGAGGGGATCGAGGGCCCTGCTCTTTCGAGCTTACAATCTAGAAGCATGTCAAGGAGTCACCCTCTCTGAGACACTCTCTTTAATCCAGTCTCTTCTCAGACCACCTCAGACCTTACCGCTGTTGTGGATAAAGTTTGTAAGCAAACTAAACTTTCTACCCCTGAGAAATGGGTAGTGCCTGACCTTGTGAATCAGTTGTCAGTGGTTAGTGAAGATTCTGGAAGGTCATGTCATCTGAGAGAACCTTCATATCCTGGACTACATTCTGGACACCCAGAACATGTTTCTGTGACATCAAGGGAGCATTCCCTGGAGAGGTCTCCTAATGCACAGACACTGTTGGACAGCATTCCAGTGTTGGTGTTCCTCAACCATGGCAGAGAAGGATGTCTTGCTATGGCAAGAAAGATAGTTAGTCTTGACTTGGATGCAGGTTTATGTTAAAGAATGTGGGGCAGTTGTTCGGGCACTTGGGTTCTTTTCAGATCATCTATTGCAGGTGGAAGAAGTCAAAGGACATACCATTCCATACTGAATATGGGTGTAAGCTGTTACAAAAGGTGAACTTCTTTACCACTGGAAGATCAAGCCTTTTCTGCCACTTTTTGTCTACATGTAACGATCAGTATTTTTTTCGAGAAAATTTCATAGAACCCCAAACATTATATATATATTTTATTTAAAAAACCTAGGCCCTAGAGAATAAATTGCCAGGTTTTGCAAATTTTTTATGTCACACAGTATTTGCGCAGCAGTTTTTTTTTTGGGGGGAGAAAAAAATACACTGTGTGGAAATTAACATAAAACACAATATATAACCAAACTTTTTAATGAAATATAAAAGATGAAATTATGCCGAGTAAATAGATACCAAACATGTTCCGCTTTAAAACTGCGCACAGCTATGAATTTTATTATCCATAGGCAACGTTTTAAAAGCCTTTACAGGTTACCACTTTAGATTTACAGAGGAGGTCTGGTGCTAAAATTTCTTGCCATGATCTGATGTTCGCGGTGATGCCTCACATATGTAAGACGATCGCTGTTTGTGTGCATTTTTACACTGTCACTTTAATTTAAACATCCCTTGTGACAGCAATAGGCAATGACAGGTACTCTTTATGGAGAGAACTGAAGCATTAGTGTGATCACGTTTTCCATTTTTAAGAATGCCGCCATTTACATCCGGGAGAACCGGAAGTGATGTATGCTCGTCGCTTCCTGTTTTCTATATCATAGAGGCGGACAGAGCAGTTTGGTCTTCATCTGCTTCTATGATCAGCCTGCGGAAGCGCTATCTGGTCGACCAAGTGTCATGGGGGGGGGGGGGGGGGGGACATCCTCTCCCACTGCTTGTAAATGTGATCCAGTGGCTAGTTAGCCACTCATATTGTTTTTACACGAGAGCCATCAGCTTTAAAAAAAAAAAAAAGTAAATCCTGCTGCTTGCCTGCAACTGCATGTCCTGGGTGATATAATTTGCCTTATCTGATGTCAGATTTAGGTGTTGGTTATACAGGCAGCTATTGCCCTGCAGGCTTGTCCAAGTTCTTCACATACGGCCTGCTAACAGTTGTTTACTGTCACCCAACCCACAAATGGACTCCTTTTGGAAGCTCCGACAGCTATTCGTTTCCTGTGTCCTTCAATAGACAAGAAAGGAAAATGTTTTTTTGTAATCAATTTAAAATCCTTTTCTTGAAGTCCTTTGATGGACACGGGTCCAACCCCTCTGAGTTTATGATCATGATCCTGCTAATGCTTGCTACAAAACTGAAGCATGCTGGTTGTAAGAGGGGTTATCCTGGGCTGGTCTACAAATTTTGTTTGCCAGGGTCCAATCCTCCTGTAGACAGCAGTGTAACTTGACAGTTAATAACTTCAGTGGGCTCCGAGAAAAGTATTGTACCCAAAGTACCAAAATTCTATTATCTTTTCTTTTGCCTGCAGTTTTAAGTTGGTTATGTTGTCTTTTTAAGATTCTGTCCAGCATTTTTTCAGTAATTTAGAACCTCTATCATTTTGTTCCATGAATATTAAACCCCAACTGTTCTTGGATTTTTTAATTCTATCCTCAACTTCTGTAATTTTGTTTTACTGTTTGAAAATGAAAACCAATGACTACATTTTTTTTGTGTGTGTGTGTCAAATAATTAATTACCAAAAAGCATGTACAAATTGAGTGTTTCCTAATTGGTATTAGTAGCCTTGCAGTGACAGTGTGCAATAGCGTTATATGATAGTGATTGATAGTGGAGATAGCTGGCAGACTGGAATTGGTGCTGGGGACCTGCCATGTTGTGTGCTTGTCTGTGGTAGGCTGGTATGGAGAATATGTGGAGTATAAATTACCTAAGGGACTGAAGTAATTTGGAATAAAAATGACCTCATTGCCCAAATCGGTGTGCCTCAACTTTTGGAACTTTGTTTTTCTGTCCTCATTTATGTCTAGATTCATTGCGACTGTTTACATGCAATTTAGGCTGTCTAGCAGATGTCCTAAACTGACTTTTTTTTTTTATTGAACTGTAATGTTGAAAAAGGAAAACATAGGACTTTAAATAGTACTAGTCTGAATGTTTGAAAGTGTCTGAATTAACACTTCTTGATGCCCATCAAAACTTGGAATTAAAATGGGGAAAATCTACTTTGGATTACAGCAGGTCTTTCTTTAGCCTCTGAAAACTGAGAAATATTTCACTCAAAGCTGTTTCCAAAATAATAAACTGTGTTGGTAAACTTTAATATTTTGCATACTTTTTGTGATATCCGAATGAAATTTTAATTGTTTTCCTACAAGCATAGGCCTGTATTATAGGTACCTACGATGCTTTACAATAAAAAATAGTTAAATACAGATCTTTTGATCATAGCTGATTGGTTTAATTGACATTCTTTCATTTTTGTTTGTGTACAGTATTTAATGTACGTAGGTAGAAGTTTTAAGTTGGCACAATTGTATACATACACATATACACACTATATTGCCAAAAGTATTGAGACACCCCTCCAAATCATTGCATTTAGGTGTTCCAATCACTTCCATGTCCACAGGTGTATAAATTCAAGCACATAGGCATGCAGACTGCTTCTACAAACATTTGTGAAAGAATGGGTCGCTCTCAGGAGCTCAGTGAATTCAAGCGTGGTACCGTGATAGGTTCCCACCTGTGCAATAAGTCCATCCGTGAAATGTGCTTACTACTAAACATTCCATAGCACAGCAGTGCGTAGAGAGCTTCATGGAATGGGTTTCCATGGCCGAGCAGCTGCATCCAAGCCTTACGCCAGCAAGCGTCGGATGCAGTGGTGTAAAGCACTCCAACACTGGAGCAGTGGAGGCGTGTTCTCTAGAGTGTCCAATAACGCTTCTCCGTCTGGCAATCCAATGGACATGTCTGGGTTTGGTGGATGCCAGGAGAACAGTACTTGCCTGACTGCGTTGTGCCAAGTGTAAAGTTTGGTGGAGGGGGTTTATTATGGGGGGTTGTGTTTCAGGGGCTGGGCTTGGCCCCTTAGTTCTATTGAGGGGGAATGCTTAAAGCATTAGCAAACCAAGACATTGTGAACAATTTCATGCTCCCAACTTTGTGGGAACAGTTTGGGGATGGCCTCTTCCCACAAGAGTTGAAGCTGTTATAACTACAAAGGGTGGGCCAACTCAGTATTGAACCCTACGGATTAAGACTGAGATGCCATTAAAGTTCATGTGCGTGTAAAGGCAGGCATCCCAATACTTTTGGCAATATAGTGTGTGTTTGTATGTATGTATGTATGCGTGTGTGTGTGTATATCTGTGTATATAAATTATTTTACGGCAAAGTTGTTAAACATTTGCTGTACTTCCACAAAATTAAATGTGTCTAATATTCTTTATTGTAGGGGAAAAAATAACCATTCATGATAAAACTGAAATTAACTTGGTATCGTTTCGCCGAACAATATATCTTGCAATTCAGTCAAGGTAAGGTGTTTAGCTTACATTACTGAGTTCAAATGGATTTTTTTTGTTGGTGTATATTTCAGATTTGTGTTGTGCTGTTTTATAAAATCTGTTGATATATTGCACATTCTGTACTCTTTCCAGCTTCCATAGTTAATCCCCAGCACACTTATAGCTAGACATGCCAAGAAACCACATTTATGTTTTTTTGTTAAAAAAATAATTTTTTGCAAAAGTATTCAGAGTGGTCATGTTAGGCACAAGTTTCATTCCTCTTTGCTTTTCTCCAGCACTGAATAGTCCCTGATGATGCAGAGAGCATTGCTAATGGTAACATCTGTGCTGGTGTCTGCATTATTACACTGGTAAGGAAGGGTGTTGTGGAGATGCCCCCTCAGGGTGTACCCTGCACTCACATTATGTCATTAGTCATCTAGGTTCTCTAACTTGTTTATCTAGATATGTAAGTATGAATGCAAGTTACTCACCAGGAGGAGAGCCATTGGGGGATTCCAGGTTGGAAATAGATCTGGGGGTCTTAGAAGGTCACAGTCTCAGCAATAGCATGCACTGCCAAGCTGCAGCTAGCAAAGCAAGCAGAATATTCGCATGCATTTAAAAAGGTATTTACTCAAGCGAGAAAACTAAATCTATCACTTTACAAAACTTTGGATCGTTCACATCTTGAGTATGCCGTCCAGTTCCAGTTAACAGTTCTCAGGAAGGATGTGTTGGAACTGAAGACAGCCCAGAAAAGGGCGACAAAGCTAATAAAGGGATGGAAGGACCACTGTTACGAGGAGCGAATACAAGCATTAAACTAATCCTCCCAGGAGAAGAGACACTTGAGAGGAGATAATGATAGCGATATACAGATACCTCAGTGGTGATCTCAGCATAGGGAGAAAACTATTTATTTTCAGGGAAGAAGACACGTGGCCACTCAATGAAGTTGGAGGAGAAGCAATTTAACCTTAAACTGTGAAGGGATTCTTTACTGTTAGAGCGGTAAGGATTTGGAACTTCCCTCCACAATTAGTATTGTCAGCTGGCAGTGTTGATAGTTTAAAAATGAAACACACACACCTAGATGGACTGGTGTCTTTATTCAACCTTGCCAGCTATGCAAGTAAAGATCAGGCCAGCTAGACATGTGAAAAGAAGCCAAGCCCCCACATTCTGGCTCATAATTCATATTTTTGCGAGAGTGGCTTGCAATATTTTAATATCTACCTGACTTAAAAAAAAAAAAAAAAAAAAAGTAAAACGGTTTGTCCTAAACATTACACAAACAATCAAAATATATTTTAAATGGGTTAGAGGTATATGCACCACACCAAAACCATGAAAACATTTCATAGTAGCTCAATCCCACAGCACTTACTTTTCTTCATTAATTATCATTGTCTCCCTGTGCCTATAGCAATGTGATATAATAATTACAAATTATATTACATGAGCATCATTTTGATATTCGCATAGTAATGTATTCTATTTTGTCTAGCTTTTTGCTTCTGTTTATTTTTTAGCATTGCAGAGAACATATTCAGAAGCAAAAAAATAGTGCCTGGCTTTCAAGCGTGTGTGTGATCGGCAGAAAGCCTGGATCAAAATAATGCTGGTGTAATGGCTTTTTGTGACCGTAAAACGTACTTATACCTACAGATGCTTAATGGAGCCTACCCATTCCTATAACTCTGCTGCTTTTCTGCAATAAATGTATCTGATTTCATCTGAAAATCCCCTAATGATTTAACAGGCACTGCTTTCCTGGGAGGCAATTTTCAGTGTTTGCAAAATGTATTTGATAGCTGTGTTAACTTTTCCAGCTGTACTTTTCACATTTCTGCCAAGCTTTCTGCACTGATCCATGTGCTTTTACTATGCAAGGAGCAGTCTCCAATTTTTTTTTGGCTTGTTGTTTTAGAGCTTTCTGACCATGCATTTACCTTTTTGTTATGTATAATTAACAGCTCAACTGAATGCTTTACAGCATGGTTATGTTAATCTTCCTCTGTCCTACAAAAAAAAAAAATTTTAGCACAGGGATTATGCTATAATATCAACTCTGTAGATAGTCCATTAGGCAACATGGTAATGTCTGGGCATTGGTAGCCAAGATTAAAATAAGGAGTGTTCTGTGCAGTGGAACACAGGCTGAACACTTTGTGCCTCCCTCTACCAGGTAGAGGACCGTGTAAATATGTAGCCTCCCTGGCGGTATTCCCGAGTGTAGCTCGGGGTAAAGTTTCAGTACCACAAGCGGTAACCCCGAGCTACACTTACCATGCGTCGCTGCTCCAGGATCTCTCGATCACTTACCTTGTCCTGCTCTGCTCTCCCGCGATGTCCCTCCTGCAGTGTCCCCGGCAATGTAATCCGGCGGATGCCGGCATCTGTCATCTGGGTTCCGTCCCCTGCGACGTCGGGACGTATGGGGACGGAACGGCAGGAAATTTGAAAATGACAAAAGTGACATTCACTAAAATAACATAGTAAAACATTACTGTATCAAACCATTTCACATACATTTTGTCCATATTGCTTTGTCCTGTGCCCTGCATTTTTACTGTTCTTTCTGCCTGGAAACAGAGAAATGTCCATGGCGTCCAAAAAGCATCCCTTTAGGTGAAAAGCGGTTTTAGACCAGCTAGAGAACAGCAATAGTAAATTAGAACTACTTGCAGAATTGAGTGATGATTCGTGGGGAAATTCGTCATCAGACACTGAAAACGATTTTGCCACTTTACTCAGTGATGTGCGAACTTGGCGCTATATTTCAAATTTCAGTGTTTTTGGTTTGATTATATTATTGAATTCAATTTATTATTATTATTATTATTATATTATTTTTTATGATTATTTATTAAATTATCATTTATGATTTCGTGTTTCAAGTTTTATCATACCCGGGATGTTTACTAGACTCTTGTTCGGACAGATTTCAGTGAGTTGTTCCTAAAAATTACAGGCCTACAGTAAAAAAAATTACATATTTCCATGCAAAAAAAAGTACCGCTTTGAGCACAGAAATATGGACATAATCAGATCACTATGGAGGTTAAGAGAGAATTGGCCTAATTTTGCTGCCATGACATGGACATCCTTGACAGTGGAGGTGGATGCAGTCAGCTCCAGAACTAGTGTGTGACTGACTATCCCAGAAGCCATAGCCTCATTTGCAGCCATGCAGTTTGAAATTTGCAGAGCAGGCTTCAGTGGAGCACACAGTACAGTAGGCATGAGGATTTTAAATGGTTAAGACACCGTTGAGACACCTGGGCATGACCTGCTTTTCTCCCACACTAGATGAACGCAGGTCACCAATAGAACACACAGAAAACAATTGGTTTCTATGTCTCCTATTCAAACTGCAGTGCATCCTGGAGGTGTAGTGCAGTGAGCTGTAATAAAGATGCAGACATGCTGCATTTTATTGCAGCACACAGGAAATGATTGCATATCACTATATACGAGACACCGTGTTGCTGTGAAGTTGCTTGATTGTAGTATCACTTAAAAAAAAAAAAAAAAATATGCTAAAAGCAGCTGGAATGTAGTGCTGCCCAGCTGCCCACACACTGAACTGCTGCGGTTTAGTGTGCAGACAGTGTGAATCTGCCCTAAATTGTGAATAAGTGATCAATGATCCTTCTTGTTAGCAGTGAAACTTGACTATAACTGATCATAAACTCGCTGGCATGCAATTCCCAGCTTCTACCTTACTGCCCTTCTTGTGGAAAAGGTATAATATTAGCCTTCGTCAGTCATGGGGAATGTCTCCTGTTAAGAAACTGACTACAAAGTCCAAGTAATGGTCCAACAACAGTACATCAAAGTTCTCTTAGAACTTTGAGATTAATACCATCAGTGCCCATTGCTTTATTACGTTTTAACCTAGTGAGTTTCTTTACTACCACTGACTCTAGATATCCTGAAAATGAACGTTCATTACTAGAACCAGTATGATCTCCCAACTTGTTTTTGTTATTGCAGTTTATTTCTGTGATAACTGATCAGAAGTAATTGTTTAAATGGTTTGCTAGATCCAGGTCTCCCTCAGCATAAGTGTTGCACCCAGTTTTTATTTTAGTGATTCCATTGTATTGTTTCTTTCCATCACTGTACCTAAAAAAAAAAAAAAAATTCTCCCTTCTTAATCAATGTAGCCATTTCTTCCGCTTTCTGTGCTTTAGCAGCGCTGATAATTTGTTTGGCCTCCTTTTGTCTGTTTTATACACTTCTCTATCGGCTACACTTTCTGTTTCCTTAAAACTCCTATTTTCTGATTTATTTTTTTCCCTCCTTTACTATTCTACCTACCTCTTTAGTGAAGTATATTGTTTTTTTCTTTCACTTACTCTTACTAATTAGCCTGACATATAATGGAGTTGCCTCCAGGCTGGTAGAGTTTAATAACGCCCATTTAATATAGAATCCTGTCATATACTCCCAACATTTTAATTAATTTTTTTTAGAAATGTACCCATTTCAGCAAAAGTTGTTTATTTGAAATTCAAAACGTTAGTTTTTGTATATGATTTTGCATTGTATATTATTTACACTTGGATGTTGAGGTTGTTAAAGCTCAACTTCAGCCACTATTTAAAATACAGCAAAGAAAACCCAGGATTTTTTGCTCTGCCAGCCAGGGTGTGTTGCTGTGTGGCAGAGCTGTGTAAACATCAGAAATGTATAGACAGAAATCCTTTGACAGGTTTGTCTTCAAATACTGTATATCATGGGGTTTTTTTCAGTTTTATTTTTAATTACAACATTAAAAAAAAAAAATGATACGTGAGATATATTGAGCACTTGAAGTTGCAATACTATGTACTTGGTTAAAGGATGAGTGAACTTTGAAAAAAGACCTAGCCTACCCACCTTCCCCACAGATGCACTTACATCGATCTAAAAAGCTATGACTCTGCTGTTTTGTTTACATCCATCACCTGACGTTTCCAATGTTCTGGTCAGAGAATCTCAGAGACAGTCCCATGGAAGTCTTTGAGGCTGTAATGTGCAGGTGCAACTGGTAAGTGAAGACGTTTGGAGCTACAAGGGAAAAAAACGCTGAGCTGTGGCTTTTTTGAAATAAGTATGTATCTGTAACGGTGGGGGTAGGTTAGGTCCATAAGAGCGAGTGGGCATGAAGACACAAGTGCAGTTTGCTTTGAATTGTGGTTATTCATTAAAAAGTGTAATGAACTGTCTTAATATTACTGCAGCAGTGCAAATGCCTGCACGGAACACTCTTTGTCATTGCTCTTGCTGTTCTTTAATAACCTCCCCCCCCAGCTATTATTTTTTTGTATCACTCAGCTTTTCCTCCTAGATTGTAAGCTTTAACGAGCAGAGCCCTCTGTTTCCTCTTCTACCAAATTGTATTGTAACTGTTGTAACCTTCATTTTGTAAAGCGCTGCGCAAACTGTTGGCTCTATATAAATCCTGTATTATAATAATAATAATAATAATAACCTTGTTTAACCACTTGTTCTTCGAAAGGAGTTACCCCCTTCATGGCCAGGCCATTTTTTGCTACACGGCACTGCGCTACTTTAACTGGCACTTGCGCAGCCATGCAATTCTCTATCAAAACGAAATGTATTTAATTTATTTCACACAAATATTTCTTGTGGTAGTATTTGATCACCTCCTGGGTTTTTTTATTTTTTGCTATATAAACAAAAAAAAAATATTTTTTATTTTCATTTATTAAACCTATACAATCAAAAAACTTTTTAAATCAAATCTCTTCATAAATGTATTCTGCTGCATGTCATTGGTAAAAAAAAAAAAAAAATCCCAGTGAGTTTGTATTGATTGGTTTGTGTGAGTTATAGCGTCTACAAACTATAGGATATATAATGAAAATGTTTTATTTATTTTTATACTACTAATGGTGGTGATCAGCAGCTTATAATGGGACTGTAATAGTGCAGTGGGCAATCTGACACTAACTGATCCTGGGGCGAACTGACTGTCACGGACATCACCAGTGCCATTAATACAGTGATCAGTGTTAATATGCACTGTCTTTGTACTAATGACACGCGGTGGGAAGGGGCTAACATCTAGGGCGATCAAGGGGTAACTGTGTGCCTAACTATGTGTAATATGTGGTGCTTTTACTAAGGATCTTGTTGTTATTCCTTGCTTAGCAGGGAATGAAAAAGCAGAAAAATCTCCTGTCAATGAACACCTGGCAGTAAAAGAGGCTAATACTAATTGAAATTCAAATACATGCTTGGCTTGTATTAAAAAAAACACATTTAAAGGCTTTACCTTTTGTGAAAAAATAAAAAAATAAATGCACATGATTTTGTAGATTGCATTGCACCCCCATGGTCAGTGGATCAGGGTTCAATGTCAGGCTCCTGCAGACACTTAATACAACTGTCTCCCCTTACCTCCCATATGGGCAAACCGTTACAGTACAGGAAGAATCCTTGAACTACAAGGGCACTCACCAGCGCCCTTGTAGTTCATTGAGAACTACAAGCCATCTGCTGCGGTGGGAGATGAGACTTGTAGTTCATTCATTCACATAACTCTGTGAATAAATGACGTGGCTGTGTAGACAGAGTCCCACACAGCCGCACTGTTTGTAAAATGTGTCAGAGAACACGGGGAGAGGATCCTCTGCACGTTGTCACTGGGGAAGGACAGGGGTATCAAGGACCGCTCCAAAGTAACATGTTACACCCGAAGTATGAGTGTAACATATTACAAAAGGTGAGCTTATCCTTTAATGATGTAATAATGAGTACGGAGCTATATTGATTTGTACCTTTTTTTTTGGGGGGGGGGTCTTAGTTTTTTTGCCTGGGGTTCAATATAACGTAGGCCAAAGTATCATGTATATTCATCGCTAGCATACTAGTGATAAAGTATCTATTTTGTGAAGTGCAGGACTGAGCTGTGTCATGATGCTCATAAATCATTTAGATTAATGTTTATTTTCATTTTCTTTTCCAGTTTAGACTTTGAAGAATGTGCTCATAAGTTAATAAAGATGGACTTTCCAGAAAGTCAAACAGTAAGCCACACACTCTCATATTTTGTTCAAAATAATCTTAAAATTGCAGTTTTATCTCTGGGGCCTGTTCTTGTGCTTTTTGCCCTTATGTGAGAAATGTAATTTTCACTGATATTAATACTATGTATAAAGTAGATTTTATGTACTTTCCTAATCTGGGTAAAAAAAATATCTCTATCATATCAGGAAACCAGTTTTTAAAATTCTTATTTATTGGTGTATTTAGTCTATATAAAAAAATATTTGTGAATGTTGGTAATTCAAACTTAATTGTTAAAATGTTCTAATGTTTAAATGCACCTCATTAATTTAGTGCAAACATTTCAATATCCGTTCTGCTCTTAAAGATAATTAATGTGGCCATATACATTTTAGAATCATATATTGGATTTAATTTCTAGGTAATAGTGTAGCTTAAAGTGGTTATAAAGTCAAAACATTTTTTTGCCTTAATGCATTACCTGCAATAAGGTTAAAAATGTCCCACTACTTGTTTTTCCTAAAGACTCCTGACACTGTCAGTTGAATCCTGTGAGGGAGAGGAGGTGTGGCTGAGCTGTGCTGTGTGTGTCTATGAGTGCACACAACCTTGCTTTGGAGTGTGCCTGCATGGGTGCCCCTCAGCTACCAGCTTGCTGAGGTGACACTTGAAGAAGAGGAGGAGTGGACCAGCACCAGTGGTGGACTCCAGAAGAGGAAATAAGAATCTGCTGTGTGCAATACTGTTGTCCAGATGGCTCCCAAATGATTATAGTGTGGCTCCATTGGATAGAGGTCCACAAATTTTATTTCCATACAAGATGAGACACATAAAATGCCAATGCATTTCAGGGGCTAGTTATTTCCCTTTTATCAGAGCTGAAACTGATATTAAGTTCATATCAATATACCATATAAATAAGGAATGCAACTAAACACACTAAATGTTGATCAGTATTATAACAAAGATAACATACTATCCATTTGACAACCAGCGACTTACCTGTACATTGCTGCACTGAAAGTGGTTATACCGGGGTGATGCCTGTAGCTGCAGGCATCATCTTGGTATTGTTTTGTAGAGCCAAAGGTCCGTTTTCTTGCAAAAGCAATCCTGGCAGTTAATTAGCTACCTTATTTCTTTTACAAGCAGCAGGATGGGATGCACCACCTTTTATGGCTCTCTTGGGCTCTCCTGTCCTACCAGAGACCTGAGCAACCAGCCTGCAGTTTTGCTGCCTGACAATAGATGTAATCGGAGACCAGAACAGCTCTAATTAACTCGATGGTATAGAAAACTGGACGCTATGATCATTCATCACTTCCGGTTTCTTCAAATGTAAACTGCGCCATTTTTTAATTGGGTAAGCATTTGATTACAGCGATGTTGATGTGATCAGATGCTTTTAAGGGCAGAGGGGATATCGGGGATCTAATAAACCCCCTGAGGTCTCTATAAAGAGTACCTGTCACTACCTATTGCTTTCACAGGAGATGTTTACTGCATATTCCCTGTGATAACAATAAAAGAGATTAAAAAAAATTAAGCGACAGTGTAAAAATAAAAAAAAAAAAATACAATTTTAAAAAATGTAACGCACCTCCGTCTTTCAATGTTTGCACGCAAAGGCAAACAAATGTGTCGGTCCCATACAAACCGCTATCGTCCCAAATGTGAGGTAATTCCACAAACATCAGATTGAGGGCAGTAATTCTAGCACCAGACCTGTTTAAATCAAAAGTAGTAACCTGTAAATGCTTTTAAAGCATTTCCTATGGATAATAAAATTTACTGTTGCACGGACATGCACAATTTTAAAGTGTGGCAATTTTGATATATTTTGTATTTACTCAAATTAAAAAGTTTTTCTTTTTTTTTAAATTGCATTTTTAAAAACTGCTGGGCAAATACTGTGTGACAAAACATTACAACACCCACCATTTTATTCTCTAGGGCATCTGCTTTCTCAGTAAGTATACTTATAAAGGTAACAACCCATGCAATCCATACATACAAAGAAACCTAAACAAATAAGTTCAGAAATTAAGTTATGTGTAATAAATAGTATTGAACACGCTAACTGAAATGTATTTAATACCTTGTACAAAATCCTTTGTTGGTAATGACAGCTTCAAGAAACCTCCTGTGTGGAGAAAATAGCCCCATGCATTGTTTGTGTGATTTTGGCCCATTCTTCCACACAAATAGTCTTCAAATCTTGAAGGTTCTGTGGGCCTCTTCTATGAACTCTGATCCTTAGTTTTTTCCATAGATTTCTGTTGGATTCAAGTCAGGTGATTGGCTGGGCCATTCTAGCAGCTTTATTTTTTTCTTTGAAACCAGTTGTGAGTTTCCTTGGCTTTGTGTTTAGGATCATTGTCTTGCTGAAATGCCCACCCTCGTTTCATCTTCATCATCCTGGTGGATGGCAGCAGATTTTTATCAAGAATGTCTTAGTACATTTTTCCATTCATCCTTCCTTCAAGGATATGAAGTTTGCTAGTACCGCATGCTGAAAAACATCCCCACACCATGATGTTCCCACCTTCAAATTTCACTGTTGGTATGGTGTTTTTGGGGTGATACGCAGTGCCATTTGACCTCCAAACATGGTGTGTATTTTGGCATCCAAAGAGTTAAATTTTGGTCTCATCTGACCAGACTATATTCTGCCAGTATTTTACAGGCTTGTCTAAATGTTGTGCAGAAAACTTTATAAACAAGCTTCAACATGCTTTTTCTTCAGCAGTGGAGTCTTGTGTGGCGAGTGTGCATACAGGTCATGGTGGTTGAGTGCATTACTTATTGTTTTCTTTGAAACAATTGTACCTGCTAATTGCAGGTCTTTCTGAAGCTCTCCACAAGTGCCCTCGGCTCTTGGATAACTCTTCTGATTAATTCTTTTCACTCCTCTGTCAGAAATCTTGCAAGGAGTACCTGGTCATGCCGTTTATGGCCCCAACAGCGCTCACTAGAACATTCAGAAGTTTAGAAATCCTTCTGTAACCAATACCATCAGTATATTTTGCAACAGTAAGGTTGCAAAGGTCTTGAGAGAGCTCTTTGCTTTTATCCATCGTGAGATGTTTCTTGTGTGACATTTTGGTAATGAGACACCTTTTTATAGGCCATCAGTTGAGACTGAACCAGCAAATATTAATTTGCACTGACAAGGGGCAGGATTGCTTTCTAATTACTGATAGATTTCAGTTGGTGTATTTGCTTTCCATGCCTTTTTGCACCTCCCTTTCTTCATGTGTTCAATACTTTTTTCCCTGTGTCATTCCATTTTATTACACATAATTTATGAACTTAATTTTGTAGTGAAAAATACAGATTTTTGCATGTCAACAAAAAGTGTCAGAAAATGCTTGTTCATGTAGTTATGTTTACCAATGAAATTACATTGTAAAAGACAGATAAAGAAGGAGTTTGTGTAGCAGTGTAACAACACCAATTGTTAAAAAACCAATAAGGCTCAATTCTGACACGATTTGAAGTGCGATTATGTATTGCAGCTTTGGTTTTTGGATGTTGTTTGCATATGCTGTGGGGCCAAATCTCACCAAATTAGCACCAAAACCTTTTCCACAATTACACCATGCTCATTGATGTGAGCAGACATAATTTAAAATAATGTGTTTTCCCTTGTTGTTTAATTATGTGTAACTCAAGCCACATCTGAAATTTAACTAGTGTGAACCAGGCCTACTAGAAACTAATAGATTTTGCAATATGTTTGTGACTCATAGTTGGTAGTAAGTTATTTTCTACAAATATGATTGATAAGATCGCATTACTTCCAAATGCTTAAAGTACAGTAAAAGGCAAAACGTTTTTCAGTTTTGGATAGAGTAGAGAGGGATTAGAACATCTGTCAGTTTTTATTGCTGTCTGTGCGTCCATTAAGGAGATTCAGGCCCCTTTCACACTGACGGTACGATCGGGTCCGCCTGTCAGTTTTTCAGGCTGACCCGATCAGACATCCATAGACCTCTATGGACTGCCGGATTTAAGCTAACAGGTGTCCGCTGACCCCCTCTGGCATCCACTCCAATCCTGTACACCAAAAACAAACGTATGGTGATTCGTTCTCCATCTGTCCGGTGAATCAGATGACAGTCAGATGGAAACGAACAAGTAGTCCGTTTCCATCCGACTGCCCCATAGAAGTCAGCGGGCTGTGTCTGTCTGCTCTGCAGCAATGGAGTGGACACAGACCTGTCATCCGTCTGCTCAGCAGGGATCAGGGGAGAGATCCCCCACTGAGCAGGTGGATCCGCTGACGGGTCCGTCCCGTCTGAAAGGGGCCTCACCCGCTCTATTTGTCCTATGGTTTACCATTATCATTGAGAGTAAAGGAAAATCACAAATTTTAGCTGTCCCCCGAAAAGTAATAGAGGGAGGAATCTTCCAATGGGGACACTAGTGTTGGTGACCTGAGGGTGCCCAAGGAATTCCTTTAATTTGCAGGGATTTGTCACTTCCTGTTTGGCTATGGGACAGGAAGTGAAGGGAAATCTTCGCAATGGGAAACAGATGGCGAAAAAAAAATCTGACGGGTTATACCCTCCCTTGCTCTATCCAAAATGAAAAAAAAAAGTTTTGCCTTTAGTTCTACTTTAAAAATCTGTGATTATAATATTCAAGAGATCAATTATGATAACTTGAACAGATCTTGAGTAGCTAATATCTAATCAGTTATCACAATTATTTTTTTTCATTAAACATTGATGGCAATAAAAAAGGGTTCTAATCATTCCCTACTCTAAAACTCCAAAAAAAAAAAGTTTTGACTTAACCACTTGCCATACATAGGCTTTTTAACCACTTGCCGACCACAGATAGCCGAATGACGGCTTCACTGCGGCCGGCCAGTTCTGGGAGGGCGTCATATGGCGTCACCGCGCACCCCCCTTTGGTGATCTCTTTGGTTGCTGTGTCCTATGACACAGCGGATCACGTGAGGTGGTAAAAAAACCAATCACAGTGGCCTTTTACTGCGTGATCAGCCGTGTCC